ATTCCAGAGCTGAGATATCAAAATTCAAAATTTTGACCCGAAAAAAAAACGACAGTGTTACCCCTTTCGTTTTTTTCCATTTTTGGGCGAAAAATTAAGTTTCTTCAATCTTCTCAAAACTCTGGATTATGATAGAGGGCTGTGAGACTTTGACCTGAGTGCAAAAATTGATGATCTAGACCCTTCCAGAGCTGAGATATCAAAATTCAAAATTTCGACCTGAAAAAAAAAAACGACAGTGTTACCCCTTTCGTTTTTTTTCATTTTTGGGCGAAAAATTAAGTTTCTCCAATCTTCTCAAAACTCTGGATTATGATAGAGGGCTGTGAGACTTTGACCTGAGTGCAAAAATGGATGATCTAGACCCTTCCAGAGCTGAGATATCAAAATTCAAAATTTTGACCTGAAAAAAAAAACGACAGTGTTACCCCTTTCGTTTTTTTTTTCGGGCGAAAAATTAAGTTTCTACAATCTTCTCAAAACTCTGGATCATGATAGAGGGCCACGAAACTTTGACCCGAGTGCAAAAATGGATGATCTAGACCCTTCCAGAGCTGAGATATCGAAATTCAAAATTTCGACCCGAAAAAAAAAATGACAAAAAAATGACCCTTTCGTTTTTTTTCGTTTTCGGGCGAAAAATTAAGTTTCTCCAATCTTCTCAAAACTCTGAATTATGATAGAGGGATGTGAGTCTTAGACCTGAGTGCAAAAATGGATGATCTAGACCCTTCTAGAGCTGAGATATCAAAATTCAAAATTTCGACCCAAAAAAAAAAAAACGACAGTGTTACCCCTTTCGTTTTTTTTCCGTTTTCGGGCGAAAAATTAAGTTTCTCCAATCTTCTCAAAACTCTGGATTCTGATAGAGGGCTGTGAGACTTAAACCTGAGTGCAAAAATGGAGGCTCTAGACCCTTCCAGAGCTGAGATATCAAAATTCAAAATTTTGACCCGAAAAAAAAAACGACAGTGTTACCCCTTTCGTTTTTTTCCATTTTCGGGCGAAAAATTAAGTTTCTCCAAACTTCTCAAAACTCTGGATTCTGATAGAGGGCCACAAGACTTTGACCTGAGTGCAAAAATGGATGATCTAGACCCTTCCAGAGCTGAGATATCAAAATTCAAAATTTTGACCCGAAAAAAAAACGACAGTGTTACCCCTTTCGTTTTTTTTTTCGGGCGAAAAATTAAGTTTCTCCAATCTTCTCAAAACTCTGGATTCTGATAGAGGGCCAAAAGACTTTGACCTGAGTGCAAAAATGGAGGCTCTAGACCCTTCCAGAGCTGAGATATCAAAATTCAAAATTTTGACCCGAAAAAAAAACGACAGTGTTACCCCTTTCGTTTTTTTCCATTTTTGGGCGAAAAATTAAGTTTCTCCAATCTTCTCAAAACTCTGGATTATGATAGAGGGCTGTGAGACTTAGACCTGAGTGCAAAAATGGATGATCTAGACCCTTCCAGAGCTGAGATATCAAAATTCAAAATTTCGACCCGAAAAAAAAAACGACAGTGTTACCCCTTTCGTTTTTTTCCATTTTTGGGCGAAAAATTACGTTTCTCCAATCTTCTCAAAACTCTGGATTCTGATAGAGGGCCAAAAGACTTTGACCTGAGTGCAAAAATGGAGGCTCTAGACCCTTCCAGAGCTGAGATATCAAAATTCAAAATTTTGACCCGAAAAAAAAACGACAGTGTTACCCCTTTCGTTTTTTCCATTTTTGGGCGAAAAATTAAGTTTCTTCAATCTTCTCAAAACTCTGGATTATGATAGAGGGCTGTGAGACTTTGACCTGAGTGCAAAAATTGATGATCTAGACCCTTCCAGAGCTGAGATATCAAAATTCAAAATTTCGACCCGAAAAAAAAAAAACGACAGTGTTACCCCTTTCGTTTTTTTTCATTTTTGGGCGAAAAATTAAGTTTCTCCAATCTTCTCAAAACTCTGGATTATGATAGAGGGCTGTGAGACTTTGACCTGAGTGCAAAAATGGATGATCTAGACCCTTCCAGAGCTGAGATATCAAAATTCAAAATTTTGACCTGAAAAAAAAACGACAGTGTTACCCCTTTCGTTTTTTTTTCGGGCGAAAAATTAAGTTTCTACAATCTTCTCAAAACTCTGGATCATGATAGAGGGCCACGAAACTTTGACCCGAGTGCAAAAATGGATGATCTAGACCCTTCCAGAGCTGAGATATCGAAATTCAAAATTTCGACCCGAAAAAAAAATGACAAAAAATGACCCTTTCGTTTTTTTTCGTTTTCGGGCGAAAAATTAAGTTTCTCCAATCTTCTCAAAACTCTGAATTATGATAGAGGGATGTGAGTCTTAGACCTGAGTGCAAAAATGGATGATCTAGACCCTTCTAGAGCTGAGATATCAAAATTCAAAATTTCGACCCAAAAAAAAAAAACGACAGTGTTACCCCTTTCGTTTTTTTTCCGTTTTCGGGCGAAAAATTAAGTTTCTCCAATCTTCTCAAAACTCTGGATTCTGATAGAGGGCTGTGAGACTTAAACCTGAGTGCAAAAATGGAGGCTCTAGACCCTTCCAGAGCTGAGATATCAAAATTCAAAATTTTGACCCGAAAAAAAAACGACAGTGTTACTTACCCCTTTCGTTTTTTTCCATTTTCGGGCGAAAAATTAAGTTTCTCCAAACTTCTCAAAACTCTGGATTCTGATAGAGGGCCACAAGACTTTGACCTGAGTGCAAAAATGGATGATCTAGACCCTTCCAGAGCTGAGATATCAAAATTCAAAATTTTGACCCGAAAAAAAAACGACAGTGTTACCCCTTTCGTTTTTTTTTTCGGGCGAAAAATTACGTTTCTCCAATCTTCTCAAAACTCTGGATTCTGATAGAGGGCCAAAAGACTTTGACCTGAGTGCAACAATGGAGGCTCTAGACCATTCCAGAGCTGAGATATCAAAATTCAAAATTTTGACCCGAAAAAAAAACGACAGTGTTACCCCTTTCGTTTTTTTCCATTTTTGGGCGAAAAATTAAGTTTCTTCAATCTTCTCAAAACTCTGGATTATGATAGAGGGCTGTGAGACTTTGACCTGAGTGCAAAAATTGATGATCTAGACCCTTCCAGAGCTGAGATATCAAAATTCAAAATTTCGACCTGAAAAAAAAAAACGACAGTGTTACCCCTTTCGTTTTTTTTTCATTTTTGGGCGAAAAATTAAGTTTCTCCAATCTTCTCAAAACTCTGGATTATGATAGAGGGCTGTGAGACTTTGACCTGAGTGCAAAAATGGATGATCTAGACCCTTCCAGAGCTGAGATATCAAAATTCAAAATTTTGACCTGAAAAAAAAAACGACAGTGTTACCCCTTTCGTTTTTTTTTTCGGGCGAAAAATTAAGTTTCTCCAATCTTCTCAAAACTCTGGATCATGATAGAGGGCCACGAAACTTTGACCCGAGTGCAAAAATGGATGATCTAGACCCTTCCAGAGCTGAGATATCGAAATTCAAAATTTCGACCCGAAAAAAAAATGACAAAAAAATGACCCTTTCGTTTTTTTTCGTTTTCGGGCGAAAAATTAAGTTTCTCCAATCTTCTCAAAACTCTGAATTATGATAGAGGGATGTGAGTCTTAGACCTGAGTGCAAAAATGGATGATCTAGACCCTTCTAGAGCTGAGATATCAAAATTCAAAATTTCGACCCAAAAAAAAAAAAACGACAGTGTTACCCCTTTCGTTTTTTTCCGTTTTCGGGCGAAAAATTAAGTTTCTCCAATTTTCTCAAAACTCTGGATTCTGATAGAGGGCTGTGAGACTTAAACCTGAGTGCAAAAATGGAGGCTCTAGACCCTTCCAGAGCTGAGATATCAAAATTCAAAATTTTGACCCGAAAAAAAAAACGACAGTGTTACCCCTTTCGTTTTTTTCCATTTTCGGGCGAAAAATTAAGTTTCTCCAAACTTCTCAAAACTCTGGATTCTGATAGAGGGCCACAAGACTTTGACCTGAGTGCAAAAATGGATGATCTAGACCCTTCCAGAGCTGAGATATCAAAATGCAAAATTTTGACCCGAAAAAAAAACGACAGTGTTACCCCTTTCGTTTTTTTTTCGGGCGAAAAATTAAGTTTCTCCAATCTTCTCAAAACTCTGGATCATGATAGAGGGCCACGAAACTTTGACCCGAGTGCAAAAATGGATGATCTAGACCCTTCCAGAGCTGAGATATCGAAATTCAAAATTTCGACCCGAAAAAAAAAAATGACAAAAAAATGACCCTTTCGTTTTTTTTTCGTTTTCGGGCGAAAAATTAAGTTTCTCCAATCTTCTCAAAACTCTGGATTATGATAGAGGGATGTGAGTCTTAGACCTGAGTGCAAAAATGGATGATCTAGACCCTTCTAGAGCTGAGATATCAAAATTCAAAATTTCGACCCAAAAAAAAAAAAAAAACGACAGTGTTACCCCTTTCGTTTTTTTTCCGTTTTCGGGCGAAAAATTAAGTTTCTCCAATCTTCTCAAAACTCTGGATTCTGATAGAGGGCCATGAGACTTAAACCTGAGTGCAAAAATGGAGGCTCTATACCCTTCCAGAGCTGAGATGAAGAATCTCAAGGGTCTGGAAGGGTCTAGAGCCTCCGTTTTTGCACTCAGGTTTAAGTCTCATGGCCCTCTATCAGAATCCAGAGTTTCAAGAAGATTGGAGAAACTTTTTTTTTTGCACTGAAAAAGTCAACAGGGGTACCGCAAAGATTAAATCCTAAATTTGTTTTGTTATGAATAAACAAATGTGCAATATAAAAAGGAAAAAAACTTATGATTAAAGTTGTAATGTTATAATGTTCAAGTTTTTGTTCTAAATAAAGAAAGATGCACACAGAAAATGACTCTAATATGACCAGATTGATTGATTCGAAGATATTTAGTTTGTTACAAACAATGTGCAATCTGTAAAACAAAAACCTCAAAATTATAGTTGAAATGGATTTTTTTTTGACCTTGAGAAAAAGCTTAAAGTATAGACCTACAAATTCTATGTTTATTAAATTATTTCATGTTGGTATATTTTTGGGAAGTACTGTACACCTGTTTTGACCTGATGTCCATTGGAATGGACAAACAAAATCACAATAAAAGCAATTACATAATTTTTTTTCATTTGTTTCATTTATAGAAGCCTCATGAGCTGGGAAAATGTACTTTTATATTTTTCAGAAACTTGAGACATAATTCAGGTCTGAAGGGGTTAAATATATACACTTATAATAGACTTAAAACAGTGAATCAGGGACACGTTTCGAAAAAGTCTAACCAGTAGACAAAATACAGACAAAATCAAAACTCCAGTTTTCTTCTCAATGTGTATATTTTCATGTATTTCATCATCCTACAACTTAAAAATTTAATAAATATTAACACTTAAAGCTCTCATTCACGTATATACAAGTACTATACAATACAGAAATTAGGTGAAACCACATGAGAGAGATGTTGTCATGAGCTCTGGACGCTCTCGCATCCGTCCTCAAACCTGCAGCTATATACAATATATACAAAACCACCTGAAAACATCACAACGCTTTCAGAGCTAGCTCAAAAAAACACGGAGAACGGCCAGGTCATGCAATCGAGGTGGTTGGTGTTTCACAGGTGAGTTTGTTAACCTCAGACAGGAGCACCAGAGACGTCTAGAACGACGAATACACTTGCTTTGTAACACTTTAGTAGTATAAAAGTTATGACATATTAAAATATAAATGAAATGCAAGGATTAGAACAATCGCTAGAGGCGTTTTAGTATTATGTATACTAATATAGTATAAGATTATAAGAATTAGAATTTCAATTTTAGTCATTTTGTCAAGTGCGTTTGTCATTTTAAATTTTATTTCCGTTTTAGTATTTCAACGTAAACTTGTTTTAGGTAGTTAGCAACACAGCAGTTTTAAGTTAAAAATAGTAATCCTAATTTTATTTCAGATTTTTTTTAACAGTTCTAGTTAACAATAACAACCCTGTTGTAAGCATACAGCATACGCTCAGTATATTAACAGTATGCATTACGCAACAGCTAACATGAACTAACGACGAACAATTCTTTTACAGCACTTATTAATCTTAACATTAGCTAATGAATGCACTGTGAGCAAACAACAATGACTAATAAATGCTGTATAAATATACTGCTCATAAATCAATCACAAAACTACGTCAGAGTTACAAAGCAAACGTACGTAGCTAGACTCAAAGTAACACTGCTATGATCTACATGGCGTACTGGAGCCACACACACACACACACACACACACACACACTAAAGTAGTTCTGAGGACACGAAACAACACGGATTTATCTGGAAGACGGTTTAAATAACAGCACCTTTCATTGTTTCCTTCCGTTTCCACATGTAAAGCAGAGGATTGTGGGAAGAGCAGCGGATTTGTGGTTGATGTCGGTTCATTCTGCATGAGGTAACCAATAACTGAGTCTCTGATTCACTGGCGATCATGTGACCGGCAAGTTGCTTTTCCTCCGGGTCGAGTCTAAAGTGGCGTTCTGGTTCTGGAGTCCGCCGGGTCGCGTGACGGGAACGCTCGGCGCTGGAGGTAGAAGAGAGGTGGCGGACTCCGGTCGGGTCTGGGGCGGCACTGAAGTGCTGGGGTCCGTTTTAGGGCTGGGTTTAGTGGGTTTAGACGTCGGATCGGGACTCGTTTGAAGCAGAGGCGGGAAGGTGAAATCCGGAAGCCAAGAGAACGGAGGATGCAGATCTGGAGAAACGGTACTGAAGAAACCCAACTTCCTGTTACAGGACTCGCAGCACAGCTTCTGATAACCCGGGATGGAGCAATACCGAGCCAGAACCTCCATCTGACAGAAAATCGACTTATCACCCAGACACGGCTCGTCTGCAGGAGACAAAGTGGAAAGAAGACGTTTTTGGACATGAACCATACATACTTTAGTCATTCAATCATTTAATTCATAATAAAAATACATTAGAATCATACAATGTGAACAGGGGCTAAAATTAACATTCGAACATGAACATGAACAAACGTGATGCATCATCATAAAATATGAAGTTATGTTTTGTTATGTCTTAAGTGAATGTAAACAGTTGAGAGTAAACAGTATCAATGTAATATCAGTGGATTTGATTTTAAAGTGACAGTAGCCTAATATTCCTGATGCTGTCTGTGTTTTTAAAGTTAATCAAACAACAAAAGACAAAGAACAATCACTCACTGCTCTTGACTGAATACAGTAACTTTTGTTACTTTAATAAGGATTTTTAATTTATACAGTGAAGACTATGCAGTTATTTTACATTTGCTTAACTACGGTCAGACCTGCCTGAAAAACCTGAAAAGAACAGTTTATTTCATTTGCATCTTTGTTACATTGTATTTATTTGTGTTTTTGTCATTTAAATCAAATTTTTTTTCAAAGTAATATAACACATAACTGATTTAAGTATTGCTTGGAATACGATGCAAAAAAATGGTATGTGAACATGCACTGTTTAAAAAAAAAAAAATTAAATATTTTTTATTTATCAAGGATGCATTAAATTAATTAAAAGTGACAATAAATATATATAAAAACCAATGTAAAAATAAAAAAAAACATTAAAAACCAAAAGATTTCTATTTAAAATAAATGCTTTTCTTTTGAACTTTCTATTCATAAAAAAATCCTGAAAAATAAATTGCATCACGGTTTCCACAAAAACTGTTTTCAACCTTGATAATATTCATAAATGTGTCTTGATCATCAGATCATCATATTAGAGTGATTTGTGAAGGGTCATGTGACACTGAAGACTGGAGTAATGATGATAAATTCAGCTTTGATCACAGAAATAAATTACACTTTACTGTATATTCACAGCTATTTTATATTGTAAAAATATTTCAAATTTTTACCATATTTTTGACCAAATAAACGATTGAACAGGCTAATCAATAATCACAGAAGTGGATCGATGACCCGTCAGCGACTGTATTGACGAGTCACTTACTGGAGAGTTTATCCACAGTGTTTTCCGGCAGTTTCTCCTCCTCGGTGGTGAGATTCTCCAGTAAATCTTTAGTTGGACTGGGTAAAGACGGCTCTCCTGGGAAAAACACACACATTTTCTGTCAGACGGGAAGTCACTGTGAAGTCAAGCCAACATAATATATATATTTTTTTTGCAATTTCATTTTTATCTCTGATGAAATATTTCCTCTGGTTTTGAAGGTAATTCATTGTTATTGTTCAAAGGTGAGTTCAGCTGATGCTCCAGCTGCTCTTCTGTTCAATGAAAGGCAAATGAATATCAAAGGCTGTGAAGCTCTTTTAAGAAATCAGACAGAGAAACGAAGCTGAACACAATTTCCAGAGGTTGGATCTGCAGCTGCTGATTCCCATGAGTAACACAAATGATCTCAGGTCTCTTATGTTTCATTCTGGATCACAATGATCACACTGGATCAGACTACTTCACACTGATCCACACTGGATCACACTGATTCAGAATGGATCACACTGATTCACACTGGATCACACTGGTTCACACTGGGTCCACTGATTCACACTGAACCACACTGATTCACACTGGATCACACTGATTCACACTGATTCACACTGGATCACACTGATTCACACTGGATCACACTGGATCACACTGATTCACACTGGGTCCACTGATTCACACTGAACCACACTGATTCACACTGGATCACACTGATTCACACTGATTCAGAATGGATCACACTGATTCACACTGGATCACACTGGTTCACACTGGGTCCACTGATTCACACTGAACCACACTGATTCACACTGGATCACACTGATTCACACTGATTCAGAATGGATCACACTGATTCACACTGGTTCACACTGGGTCCACTGATTCACACTGAACCACACTGATTCACACTGAACCACACTGATTCACACTGGATCACACTGATTCACACTGGATCACACTGATTCACACTGGATCACACTGGATCACACTGATTCACACTGGATCACACTGATTCACACTGGATCACACTGATTCACACTGATTCACACTGGATCACACTGGATCACACTGGTTCACACTGATTCACACTGGGTCCACTGATTCACACTGAACCACACTGATTCACACTGGATCACACTGATTCACACTGGGTCCACTGATTCACACTGAACCACACTGATTCACACTGGATCACACTGATTCACACTGGATCACACTGGATCACACTGATTCACACTGGATCACACTGATTCACACTGGATCACACTGGATCCACTGATTCACACTGAGCCACACTGATTCACACTGGATCACACTGATTCACACTGGATCACACTGGATCACACTGATTCACACTGGATCACACTGATTAACACTGGATCACACTGATTCACACTGGATCACACTGGATCACACTGATTCACACTGGATCACACTGATTCACACTGGATCACACTGATTCACACTGGATCACACTCGATCACACTGGATCACACTGATTCACACTGGATCACACTGATTCACACTGGATCACACTGGATCACACTGGATCACACTGATTCACACTGGATCACACTGGTTCACACTGGATCACACTGATTCACACTGGATCACACTGGATCACACTGGTTCACACTGGATCTGGATCACACTGGTTCACCTGGGCAGGGAGGGAGTTTGCAGATGGACACAGACTGGGGTTTTTCTGCATCACACGGGCCGGCGCTGCTGTCGGACGGTCTACAGATCACCTGCCTCTGCTGGATCCCTTCACCACAGCTCACCGAACACTGGAGGATACACACAATCACAATCACAATCACATGTGCCTCAGAAAGCAATAGCCGTTCATGTCTCGGTTAACTACAGACCTGATATAGTCCGGCCATGAGTGACGCACTTCTAGCCTAAATAACCTTGAATTTAGTTACATGTCGTTTTTGCCAAAATAATTTGCGAGATGTTTAATATTCCATCATGTAAGCAGTCAACAGTGATTACAAAGTGTTCAGTTTCATTTCATTTCTTTATCTAATTGATGACTCGTCTATTCCTGAGCGATGGTTTAGACGTCTGTTACATTTTCACTGTGATCAAAATGATTTAACTGAAATATTTAACTTGTATCTGTTTGACCTTCTGACTGAAGGCAAGTTATGTGATCATCAGCTTCATCTCATCTGTGTGTGTGTGTGTGTGTGTGTGTGGGTCTTGTTGAGAGGGAGTGTCATTGATTTCAACGTGTTGACAGGAAATCTTTCAGTCGTTTGCTGTAACGTATGAACTCTCGTCCTTTAACCGTAAACATGATGTCATCTCCCACACACTGCAGATTCGCAGTCACAAGAAAATCATGGATTTGAAGCGTGAAAACGAATGGCAGTGTGAAAGAAAAGAAACTCATCTAAACTCTATTGTACTGTGGTTTCCACACCATTAAACACACAAACTCGCCTGCAGACCCAGATTAAGGTGAGCTCCAGAATACAGTGTTTACAGTACAGAGAGTCGTTCAGTCCAACACAAAGTGGACAATTTCCAGCTCTGTGATTTGTTCATGAATAAGCTCATCTGAATAAATGAAAAAGAATAACAAAACAACCAAAAAACAGAAACTGTGTTCAAAGCAGCGACATCCACATCAAAGCTCTCTCTCTTAAACACACACACATACAAATAATAATTATACATGCTTGTAACGGTAAATAAATTACTATTTTGTTTTATATCATCAAAAAGATTCATATTAATAAACACATTTAGTGAATTCTCTTAGCAGAAGGAAATGTAGCAAAATATTAAAACACAGAGATTGCAGATCATCACTAATTTTGGGGAAGTGAGTTTTATTCGAGTTCTAAATAATAAAATAAACACACACACACACACACACACACACACACAAACGTTATACTACCTGTCACATTTGTGACCATTAACAAATTCACGTCTTACGAACAAAATATATTTGTATATAAATACATACAAATAAATATAAATACAAAATAAATACATTTAATTTAATATTCAACAATATTATTGATCTCCTGCATTGACACCATTTTATAAGAACTGAGTTATGACATCACGGTTTTCTCCAGAGCGGCTATTTAACTAAATTAAATTAACTAAATTAATAACTTTTTTACAACAAAAATGAACCATCACTGAACTTACTTGGACTGTGACGCTATTTTCTTCATTATTTTCTCTGTAAAGCTGCTTTGAAACAATCTGTGTTGTAAAAAGCGCTATATATATATATAAAGATATATAAATTTTTCATATAAAATTTTAATTTCTTGCGCAAAACTAATAACAACACTTTTAGAGCTCCCAGTAATAAGAAAAAAGTTGTGGTCACAATTGACCCTTCACAGGGAGTTTGATTGACAGGCGATCTGACCAATCATAATCCACCATCCATCGAATCGCCATTTTTGTCTGACAAAGCCGTCAACATTGTTTTTGTTTATTTTATGCTATAAATGAACTAGAAGGAAGAGATGATCGGTTCATGAGCGGCTCACGATCAGACACACTAAAGAGCCACAAAACGCTATTTATTGTTTAAATGTCTTTAAAAATATTAGCAAATTTGAAAGATGAGACTTAGTCTCATATTAAAAGTAAGCTGGTGTGTCCTGTCTGTCAGTGTCCTCTGCTCTTCACATGATGTGGCATGAAGGAGGCGTGGCTTGTCAGACATAGCAACAGTAACTAAAGGGGGCGGGTCTTTGCGGAGGGATTAAAGGGGTTAATAGCGCCTCACCTGTGCCCAGGCCCCGGTCCTCCACTGGGACGGGCAGGCGCTGGTGTTGCAGGCTCTCCGGGTCTCGGGACGCTCCTCGCTGCAGTATTTGGTGTGTACGGGTCTGTGTGTGCCGTTCAGGAGCGGCTGCATGCACTGGACCACACGAGACTGATATCCCAGCTTCCCACAGGACTTACTGCACGGGCCCCACTCCTCCAGCACCCACCTGCACACACACACACACACACACACACCTCAGTACCGCGTTACCCGAGGCTCGGCTGACTCTGCGTGCGTGCGGGGCGGGACTCACGTGGGCTGGCTGCAGCTGTTGGTGTTGCAGCGTTTGCGGATGGGTTTGGGTTTTTTACTGGTCTCGCAGAAGTTCCTGTGAACCAAACGCCCGTCGCTCTTCCTCCGACAGCCGTACTTCGTGAACTGGACCCCTGAGGAACACACATTGGTCGCATTAAAAACGTTTTTTGGGGGGGGAAAGTCTCTTCTGCTGCACTAAAGCTGCTTTTATTTCATCGAAAATATAGTAGAATCGTGATATATTATTATAATGTAAAACAGCTGTTTTCTGTGGAAATTTGTTTCCGCCACAGAATAAAAAAAATATTTTTTTCTCATAATTGCGAGTTTACATCTCGCATTTCTGACTTTTTATCTCAGAATTGCATGTTTAAATCTCGCAATTCTGACTTTGTAACAAATTGTGAGTTATAAAGTCAGAATTGCGAGATATAAACATGCAATTCTGAGGAAAAAAGTCACAATTATCTTTTAAAATGTTTTCTGTGGCTGAAACAAGATTCCATAGAAAACAGTGAAATATTATTATAATTTAAATCATCTGTGAATATATTGTAAAGTGTAATTTATTCCTGTGATTTCCAGCATCATTACTCCAGTCTTCAGTGTCACATGACCCTTCACAAATCACTCTAATATGAGGATCTGATGATCAAGAAACATTTATGATTATTATCAATGTTGAAAACAGCTCATATTTGTGTGGAAGAAGGTGAACATTTTATTTTTCAGGAATTTTTCATGAATAGAAAGTTCAAAAGAACAGCATTTATTTGAAATAGAAATTTGTCTTTACTTTTGATTAATTTAGTGCATCCTTGATAAATAAATATACTTTTTGTTGTTGTTGTTGTGGAAGCGCACACACTCTGCCAGTGTAAATATAGACGTAAAACCTCTTTAACCTCTCTATCTCTATAACGCAATTCTGACTTTATATCACGCAATTGCGACTTTATCACAATTCTGACTTTATATCTCACAATTCTGACTTTATATCACACAATTCTGACTTTATCTCACAATTCTGACTTTATATCACACAATTGCGACTTTATAACATGCTATTCGGACTTTGTCTCGCAATTCAGACTTTATAACACGCAATTGCGACTTTATAACATGCAATTCTGACTTTATATCTCACAATTCTGAATTTATATCACAAAATTTTGACTTTATATCTCACAATTGTGACTTTATATCACACAATTCTGACTTTATATCACACAATTCTGACTTTATATCACACAATTCTGACTTTATATCTCACAATTCTGACTTTATATCACGCAATTCTGACTTTATATCACACAATTCTGACTTTATATCTCACAATTCTGACTTTATATCACGCAATTCTGACTTTATATCTCACAATTCTGACTTTATATCACGCAATTCTGACTTTATATCTCACAATTCTGACTTTATATCACGCAATTCTGACTTTATATCTCACAATTCTGACTTTATATCTCGCAATTCTGACTTTATATCTCACAATTCTGACTTTATATTACAATTCTGACTTTATATCACACAATTCTGACTTTATATCACGCAATTGCGACTTTATATCACGCAATTCTGACTTTATATCTCACAATTCTGACTTTATATCTCACAATTCTGACTTTATATCACACTATTCTGACTTTATGTCTCGCAATCGCGACTTTATATCACGCAATTCTGACTTTATATCTCGCAATTCTGACTTTATATCTCACAATTCTGACTTTATATTACAATTCTGACTTTATATCACACAATTCTGACTTTATATCACGCAATTGCGACTTTATAACATGCAATTATGACTTTATATCTCACAATTCTGACTTTATATCACACAATTCTGACTTTATATCACGCAATTGCGACTTTATATCATGCAATTATGACTTTATATCTCGCAATTCTGACTTTATATCTCACAATTCTGACTTTATATTACAATTCTGACTTTATATCACACAATTCTGACTTTATATCACGCAATTGCGACTTTATATCACGCAATTCTGACTTTATATCTCACAATTCTGACTTTATATTACAATTCTGACTTTATATCACACAATTCTGACTTTATATCATGCAATTCTGACTTTATATCACACAATTCTGACTTTATAACACAATTCTGACTTTATATCACGCAATTGCGACTTTATATCTCACAATTCTGACTTTATATCACACAATTCTGACTTTATATCACGCAATTGCGACTTTATATCACGCAATTCTGACTTTATATCTCGCAATTCTGACTTTATATCTCACAATTCTGACTTTATATTACAATTCTGACTTTATATCACACAATTCTGACTTTATATCATGCAATTCTGACTTTATATCACACAATTCTGACTTTATAACACAATTCTGACTTTATATCACGCAATTGCGACTTTATATCTCACAATTCTGACTTTATATCACACAATTCAGACTTTATATCACGCAATTGCGACTTTATATCTCACAATTCTGACTTTATATCACGCAATTGCGACTTTATATCTCACAATTCTGACTTTATATCACGTAATTGCAACTTTATATCACGCAATTCTGAGAAATAACGGCAGAATTTGCGAGATGTAAATTTGGAATTGTGAGAAAAAAAGTCAGAATTGTGAGATAAAAAGTCGCAATCCCTTTTTTATTTTTCATTCTGTGGCGGAAACAAGCTTCCATAGTAGAGAGCTGGTGTAGTGGAGATATTGCAGACACTCTCGCTCACCTCCGCCGCAGGGCTTTGAGCACTGAGACCAGCTCTTCAGCGCCCACTCGTACGTGTCCAGCTCCGCCAGAAGCACGTTGTTGTTGGTGATGACCGGCAGCAGATCTTCATGAATGATGTACTTGTAGCTCAGACTGATCTTGGTGTCCTCGGCCTGCGGGACGATCTGCTCAGAGAGACAAACTCAACTCAACAGCCGTCACATCAGCTCAGTCCAGCCGGAGTGTGTTCCCCGTACACTGGTGGTCAGTTTCATCATAATTCATGCTATTTTATAGTATTTATTTGAAAGAATTAAAACCGTTTCATGTATTATTCAGCTGCTTGAGGTAGATTTGGAAAGTAAGTAGGCTTGATTAAATACTTTTTAGAGAGAGTAATCTAATTACACTGTTGAGGAGGTCGTAATGAATTAGTTTGACACTGGTTTGGGGAAACTCGGCTGATAACGACGGGACAGTTTGCTAACGATGCTTTGGGAAACACACTCCTGGTTAAAGCGCTCGTCCTCAGTGTCTCACCAGAACCACGATGGGTTCGTTCAGCGGCCCGGCGGTCTTCAGCAACTCTTTCCCGCCCGACAGAGAGTATTCCCACTCCAGCCCGTTCTCGATGAAGCTCTTGGACTCGGCTTCTTCTCCTTTGGCGTTTAAGATGAAACTGCCGGTGACCTGATTTTTAACGGCTGAGGACAGAAGAGGCAGCAATATTACACAACTTCAGCTCAGATCATGGTAACTCTGTGTGGAAGGAGAAGACAGACTGAAGATAATCGATATTGTACAGTATATATACTAAACTGAAGGATTATAACTTCTATTTTACATGTTTATTTCAATTTTGTATAAAACATCTTAGTTTACTATTACAGTTTTTATTAATATCTTGAATTGGTTTTTATTTTTATAATTTCTGTTTTCTTTTTTTACACTTGATTTAAGTTTAGGTGATTTTATGTTTTTCATTTTTATTAGTGTTTTTAAATATAATATTTTAAATATAGTGTTTTTAAATATTTATTTTAGGTCAAATTTTGTTTTACTAATCCTATTACTCCAGTTTAAATTAATTTCTAATTTATTAAGTTTAAATTTTTGTTATAATAGTTTTAGCCTACTTTATTTTTTATTAGAATTTTATTGATTTCAATTTTATTTAATTTTTTATAAACTCATTTTATTCCAGTTATTTGCCAAGAAAACATTTTAAATATTCATTTAGTTAAAGTTTTTCTTATAACATTTATAATTTATTTTTATATATTTCACTTGTATTTTAATTCAGATTTTTAAAAAATATTTTTTATAAACTCCAGTTATTTGCCAAGAAAACATAAAAAAATATTTAGTTTAAGTTGTCCTATTTATTTCAGTTGTATTTTAATTCACAATTTTTAAAAGATTTTTTAATAAACTCATTTTATTCCAGTTATTTGCCAAGAAAACATTAAAAAATATATCTAGTTTAAGTTTTTCTTGTAATATTTATTTCAGTTAATTAAAATCTAGTTAACAGCCACACTATAAATAATAGAAGTGTGCTATTGTGAACATAGCCTGAACTTGTTTGATTGCAGTGAAAACTTCACATTAAAACACTTCATATTTTCTCTCAGATTCTCAACATGATCGTAAAAACAAAAAGAAAAGGAAAGAAAAAGAAACCTTCAGAAAAACTGCTGAAGCTAAGCTGTCAGGAAATGTACAATGGTACATGCACGCACACAAAGCATGATGGGAAGGCTGTTATTGGTCTCAATAGGATGCATGACCAGCCCTGGGTGGAAAAGCATTGATTTCTCCCGAAAGATCCGCAGGTACGAACTCACCAATCACGTGAGGCGACGTGTCGTTCTCCTCAATCACAATGTGCCGAGCGCCGGCGGGAATATCAAACATCTTCAGCAACCCTAGAGATCACGACACAACACAGTACATGGACCAGTCATTACATTTCACATACAGCAAATTAAGAATATTTTAGCACTAACGATATTTTCATAATCATTTCAAATTCTCATCACCATGATGCAAAAAAAAAAAAAAAAAAAAAATCTCATTGTTATTATTCAGATGATTTAGGAAGACTAGATTCATCCAGATATGAAAATATTGGTAAAATTTTTACAATAAGGTTTCATTGGTGCTTTTCGTTCCTAGAAATGAAAAGCGTCTTAGTTATTGTGCATTTCAACATTTATGAATGAATACATTATTGAAATCAAAAGTTGAGTCTGTTAAAATAATTTAATGTACCTGAGCTGACATGAACTAACTATGAGCAGTATTGAATTGAATTGAATTGAAATATGTTACTGTTCTATAGTGGAATGTAAGTCTTAATGCAGCAGAATTAATAGTAATAAAAATTATTAAAACTTTATTTTATAAGGAATAATCACAAATTTTTTCTTCCATGTTTTAATTTTAACAGTAGGCCTCTGTTGTGCAGTACTTTTTTGTTTGCCAAAAGGGTTTAATTTTCATTTGATTAAAAGATAAATTAAAATACACAGAATTTCAAAAAAAAAAAAGAAGACAATTTTTTTATTATATAAATTTACTTGTTTTTATGAATCCAATTAATTAGACATGCTTTTGTTTAATAAAATTAAATTAAATAAAAAAAACATTAAAAGAGAAAATTTGAATTTGGTAAACAAAACAAAAAATTAATGAAAATAATTTTTTTGCTCAATTGTTTGTAAATTGCAATTAGATTGCACAAGTTTCATAATTGTGAATAATTAGACTTGCTTTTGGATCAATAACATTTAATTTAACCATTTAAACCAAGTCCATTAAAAAAAGAAGAAGAAAAAAAAACATGGAAACAGAATGGAAAAATGGAATGATGAAAAAAATAAAACAGAATTTGTGAAGAAATAAAATAAATTTCATATGGCCTTAATAGTTAGTTACTGCATTAAGTCTTAAGAGACATGCATGTTAATGAATAATGAGCAGGTTTTGTCTGTCAGGCTTGTGTGTGTGTGTGTGTGTGTGTGTGTGTACCTGTCTTCTTCGGGGTTTTAGTGAGTGTGAGTTTGACGGTGCGACAGTGTGAGTTGTCTCCCTCACATACGCCACATTTATCCTCCTGTTTGTACGATCCCACTTCCTTATCACAGCCGACATGCTGAGAGAGAGTGAAAGTAGAGAGATGACAGTATTCTGACTTTTTTTCTCACAATTGTGAGTTTACATCTTAAAATTCTGACTTTATAACACATAATTGGGAGTTTATATCTCAAAATTCTGACATCTTTTCTCAGAATTGTAAGATATAAACTCGCAATTGCGACTTATCAGGCCAATTCTAAGGGGAAAAAAGACTTTATATCACAAAATTGCGACTTTGTATCAATCAATTCTGACTTTATATCTCGCAATTCTGTCTTTATATTCCACAATTCTGACTTTTTATCTGACAATTCTTAGTTTTTATAGTAAAAAATCACAATTATCTTTTAAAAATGTTTTATTCTGTGGCAGAAACAAGCTTCCATACAATATAGACATAACTGAATTTGATAAACAACAAACAGGGATCTTAAAGCACAAAAGCTCTTATTTTAAACAATAGCCAGAAATGTTTCTTGATCATCAGATCCTCATATTAGAGTGATTTCTGTAGGATCATGTGACACTGAAGACTGGAGTAATGATGATAAATTCAGCTTTGATCACAGGAATAAATTACACTTTACTATATATTCACATAGAAAATATTTATTTTGACTTATATAATTGAATTTACCGTATTTTTGTGTGCATAAGAGACTTTCAAAAATGTACCTATAAGCAAAATTTTATATACTGCATGCATGTATACAGGTGAAACTCGAAAAATATGAATATGGTGCAAAAGTTCATTTATTTCAGTAATTCAACATAAAAGATGAAACTAATATATTATATAGACTTATTACATGCAAAGTGAGATATTTCAAGCCTTTATTTGATATCATTTTGATGATTAAGGCTTACAGATATGAAAACCACAAATTCAAAATTAGAATATTGTGAAAAGGTTTTCATTGCTTTATGCCATAATCATCAAAATGATATCAAATAAAGGCTTGAAATATCTCACTTTGCATGTAATGAGTCTATATAATATATTAGTTTCACCTTTTAAGGTGAATTACTGAAATAAATGAACTTTTGCACCATATTCATATTTTTCGAGTTTCACCTGTATGTCATTCAGCATTATTGATCGCTATTGTGTGTGTGTGTTTGTGTGTGTGTGTGATTCTCACCAGACACTCTCCTCGAGCGCAGACGCTGAACGGGTCAGAGTAACTGCAGCGTGTCCCATCATGCATCACCTGGTTCATGAAGACGACTTCCCCCGTCTCTTTAGAGCGACAGCTCAGCTCACACTTATGAGCCTCTGAAACACACACACACACACACACACATCAACATCTCACCATAAAACCAGCCCTGTGTTAAAGGCATATCAAAAGACTTCCATCACAGTCCCTGTTCAATGCACAGACGAGCTCAAAGCTGCACTGTGAATAACAGTGTCTGCTTAATGACTTCCACGCTCATGAAACACAGATCAGAGATGCACAAAACAGAGAAAAGCTCTCGAGGTGAGACGTGACTCACAGATATATGATATCTAAAGAGATTTCTCAGTAAATGTGGATGTATAGAGTGTTTTTCTCTTTATTTCCTCGATGCGGCGTCTGGCAGGAACGCTGTGTGTCTGCAGCTCTTTCAGAGAGACTTAACACACCAACCGGCCAACAAAAGTGGAGGAACAAAACGTCCCAGATATTCAAAAAAAGACGTTTTTTTATTATTACATACCTTTTTATAACAGATTGTTCAAAAGTTTGGCGTCTGCAAGATTTTGTTTTAAATATATAAATAGTTTTCTATGTGAATATACAGTAAAGTAATTTATTCCTGTGAATTTTCAGCATCATTACTCCAGTCTTCAGTGTCACATGACCCTTCAGATCAGAAATCACTCTAATATGAGGATCTGATGCTCAAGAAACATTTCGGACAATTTTGAATGTTGAACACTTCATATTTTTGTGGAAAAATCCTCCTCTCCCTTCCCTAATCTTAAATTGTTTAATAAGTGGTATATGAGAACATACTGTACCAAGGCAAATTCCTACCAGCTGTATTGTTGAAAAGGCCAAATCAACCTTTGAACTTTGAAACTGAGAGAAATATTATTTTTCAGGATGATTTGATGAACAGAACGTTCAACGGCATTTCTTTTCTAAATGTACTGTATTTACGGTCACTTTTGATCAATTTAATGCATCCTTGCTGAATAAAAGTATTCCTTTTTTTTAATCAATTTTATAATATTCTGTACAAATATCAAGAAAATTGAATGGTTCATTATTACCCAAGAGAAACATTGTTTTTTTTGTTTTTTTAATATGGTTAGAATTTTTTAATTTTTTCCAAATGCTCCAGAAAAGGGTTTCCTAAACTCTGAGGAAAAGCTAAAAATGAATTAAAATGTAAATCAAAATAGAACTCTAACTAAAGAAAGATTTTAATATTTTAGCTATTCACCAGCACATGCAAAAGTGTTGATAAAGGATCAAAATATTAATTTAAACGATTAAATTTTATTTTTATTTTAATTTTTATTATTTATATTTATTTATAATAATTTTTAGTATTTTATTTTAATAATATTATTTATAATTTATAATTAATTTATAAATAAAAAAATAAAATTATATATAAATTTTTCCGGATGCAAATTTGAATATGTAAAAGGGTGGCGTGTTTCTCTCACCATCAGGGTGTTCGTACGGCAGCCATGTGTGTTTGAGGTTGTTGTGGTATTTGTTGCTGCGCTGGACACACTGCTGCGCTCGGAAGTCCTCGAACGGGCCGGGACAGTCCTCGCTGTTACACACCTGATAATCGAAGGTTGAGCCGGGGCAATCTCGCCCTCCGTACGCAGGACTGTGGAGAGAGACGTGAAGTTTACATCACACATTTGCTAAATATTTTCTAAATGTCGACTGTGAAAATGAACACATTTCCATTAATTGATGTTGTGCCACTAAAACGTCATTTTTTCCTCTGGTGATAAGTAATGTTGGTACTATCACAGCAGCACAGTTTTATTTATAACGAAGGAGACGTAGTCGTGTTATCCAAGTATTATTAATAAACAAGGAAAGACACTTACAGCCGTTTCACACCGCAAGAGTGAGCGGCGTGTATTTTTTGTACCCATTTAAACTTGTTTTTTTCTTATTCAGTTCGGGTGAAAGTTATGGAAGCTTGTATCCACTACTGAATAAAAATAATAATAATAATAATAATTGCGACTTTTTATCTCACAATTGCGAGATATGAAGTCAGAATTGTGAGAAATAAAGTCGCAATTGCAAGAAAAAACAAACAGAATTGAGACTTTTTTACTCACAATTGCGAGTTTATATAAAATGCTGGGTTGTTTCAACCCAAGTTTGGGTCAAATATGGACAAACCCAAATGTTGGGTTAAAAATGTCATTTAAAATTTGAACCCAACTTCAACTTTCAACTGTCAATTTTTTTTTATTACATTTTTAACCCAACATTTGGGTTTGTCCATATTTGACCCAAACTTGGCCAGCATTTTTTAAGTGGGAATATTCCAGATGAGTTCTTATGGGAAGGTCTAAAATGAGTCTGTGTGTTTGTGAAACGCACGCAGGGTTGTTGCACTGACGGTTACGGGATCGAACTCCTCCTCCGCAGGTCCGAGAACACGAGCCGAACTTTCCCCAGGAGCTCCAGCCTCCGTCGTGACCGTAGGGCTGATGGGACGACCTCCAGATGCAGTGGCCTTTAAAACACCACTGCAACACACACATTCACTAGCATCACTAACACACACCTTTACCATACGTCCTAAACCAGGAGCACGAACACATCATGCCTGCTTTTATTCTAATTCCATATGAATTGACACTTGGAATATACGACATGTTTCACAAAGGATCGTTCTGTGATCGTACTTTTTTAAAAAGCTATATTGTTCTATTAGGAGATTTTAATATTGGTCAATATTGTTTTATTAAGAGATTAAATATTGGTAAAAAATATTAAGAGATTTTAATATTGGTCAATATTGTTCTATTAAAAGATTAAATATTGGTAAAAAATATTAAGAGATTTTAATATTGGTCAATATTGTTTTATTAAGAGATTAAATGTTGGTAAAAATATGAAGAGATTTTAATATTGGTCAATATTGTTCTATTAAGAGATTAAATGTTGGTAAAAAGATATTAAGAGATTTTAATATTGGTCAATATTGTTCTATTAAGAGATTAAATATTGGTAAAAAGATATTAAGAGATTTTAATATTGGTCAATATTGTTCTATTAAGAGATTAAATGTTGGTAAAAAGATATTAAGAGATTTTAATATTGGTCAATATTGTTTTATTAAGAGATTTTAATATTGGTCAATGTTGTTTTATTAAGGGATTAAATATTGGTCAATTTTATATGATTAGGATATTAAATATTGGTCAATATTGTTTTATTAAGATATTAAATATTGGTCAATATTGTTCTATTAAGAGATTAAATATTGGTCAATATTTTTTATTAACAGAATAAATATTGGTTATTATTGTTTCATTAATAGATTAAATATTGGCCTGTTTTGTTCTAATAAGAGATTGAAATATTGCTCAATATTGCTCAATTAAGAAATCAAATTTGTAAATATTGTTTTATTAAGAGATAAAATATTGGTTAATATTGGTTTATTAACAGATTAAGTATTGGTCAATATTGTTTTTTTAAGAGATTGAAATATTTGTTGATATTATTTTATTAACAAAATAAATACTGTTTATTATTGTTTCATTAAAAGATTAAAAATGGGACGGTTTTGTTCTAATAAGAGACTGAAATATTGCTCAATATTGCACTATTAAGAGATCAAATATTTGTAAATATTGTTCTATTAAGATTAATATATATTCAATTAACAGATTTAAATATTGGTCAATATTATTTCAATAAGAGATCAAATATTGGTCAGTTTTGTTTTATTAACAGAATAAATATTGGACAACCTTGTTCTGTATTAAAACTGTATTAATGATGGATTGTCTGAGAGTCCAGACGTGTTTAAGGGATTATGATAATGATCGGTTTTGTTCTAAGTCCGGAAAAGCATCAGTGAAGATATGATCGGCTGTTTGAAGTAAAAAATGTCCGCTTGTCAAAGACGAGTTAATGCGAGTTGAACATTTCCTCCAAAGCAAGGTCAGTTTGTTCTTGAGCCAACTGAATATGTAATCATATTATAAATGAAGCGTTTGAGGAGAAGTCTGACCTTTCCCGGCGCACACTCGGTGCCGTCGACCGGCGGACCCTTCTTCGTCTTACAGAAGTACTGGTTATCAGGATGACTGCACCACAACTGCTTACACGGGTCATACGTGCGGAACTGGAGGACCAGAAAACACACATTTGGTCATTTAGCAGACGCCTTTGTCCAAAACGACTTACAAATGCCAGACAAGGGAGGATTAAAGGAAATATATATATATTTTGTCAGAGGTAAAGTGTCATGGAAGAGAGTTTTGAGTTTGAGTTTTCACATACAGGTGAAATTCGAAAAATTAAAATATTGTGCAAAAGTTCATTTATTTCAGTAATTCAACATAGATATGAAAACCTTTTCACAATATTTGTGGTTTTCATAAGCTGTAAGAAACAAAATTATAACAAATAAAGGCTTGAAATATCTCACTTTGCATGTAATGAGTCTATATAATATATTAGTTTCACCTTTTATGTTGAATTACTGAAATAAATGAACTTTTGCACCGTATTGTAATTTTTGTATTTCATCAGAATGCAGGAGAACAATAAACCAATCATCCGCTTGACCTTGAGTCTATATCCACAGCATCAGAGATACTCACGGCGGTGCACATCTTATAACCCACACCGAAATCAAAGCGGCACTGCTCATCCATGGAGTAGTTTATCCCGGGAAGCTCCGTGAGTTTGGGCCATTTCAGCTCGAACGGATCATCCAGAAGACAGTCGTACGAGCTGAGAGACACACAGCACTTCATCAATGCATCGCTCAAAAATGCTGATCAACTTCATCAAAACATATAAATCCTGCCCGATTCACTCTCATCCCGCATTACTGTCTTCTGTTGGACGCAAACGATACGGATGAGGATGTGTTTATGGGACTGTTGAGAGCAACATGTGAGGAGTGCAAGACATTCTTTTCCAGTCGTGTGACGCTTTGTGACCGATATGACTTTTATGATCATATGTGGAGCATTTCTGTCCGCAGAGTCAGAAAGAGCACTCTGGGAATATGTGAAACATCTTCTTTGGTGTTAGTAAGCCTGTCACGGATTTTGTGCCGATGTCATAAATAGTTGCAATAAACAATTTAATTCTATTATGTTCATGTCACTTACAGTATTAATTTGAACACAGCATGAAAGTAAATCATATGGGCCTATTTTATTAGAATTTTTAAATGCATTTTTAATATATATATATATATATATATATATATATATATTAAAATGCATTTAAAAAATATTAAAATGCATATCATTTAAATTAAAATATATATTATATTAATTTATATTATATATTAAAATGCATATAATTATGATTATGTTTGTGTCAATTAGAGTATTGATTTTCACAGCATTAAAGTAAATCATATGAGCCTATTTTACTATAATTATTAAATGCATTTATATATATATATATATATATATATATATATTAAAATGCATTTAAAAAATATTAAAATGCATATAATCTAAATTAAAATATATATTATATTAATTTATATTATATATTAAAATGCATATAATTATGATTATGTTCGTGTCAATTAGAGTATTGATTTTCACAGCATTAAAGTAAATCATATGAGCCTATTTTACTATAATTATTAAATGCATTTATATATTAAAATGCATTTAAAAAATATTAAAATGGATATCTTTTATATTAAAATATAAATTATATTAATTTATATAGTATATTAAAATGCATATAATTATGATTATGTTTGTGTCAATTAGAGTATTAATTTTCACAGCATTAAAGTAAATCATATGAGCCTATTTTACTATAATTATTAAATGCATTTATATATATATATATATATTAAAATGCATTTAAAAATATTAAAATGCATATCTTTTATATTAAAATATAAATTATATGAATTTATATTATATATTAAAATGCATATAATTTTTAAATGCATATATATATAAATATATATTAAAATGCATTTAAAAATTACAATAAAATAGGCATATATGATTTACATTAGTTCTGTACAATTTTATAATATTTATATAATTCATTATTTATAAAACAATATAATACATTTTTCAAAAGGAGGAAAAGTAGACAACATATTGTACATTTGATGGTATTTTTAGTGCTTAAATTTTCTTTATTTGGATGTAAAAATGGGTTTATTGCTGTTATCTCAAATAATTGCGATTAGACCGATTAATCAATAATCGTGACAGTCAGACTGAGGAAATATGTCTGGAAATACGTCTCTAACACTTAAACTAACAGAACTGTGAAAACTACAACTTTATACTATATATGAAGAGTTCAGATGCAAAAGCCTCTGAGTGCCATTTGAAATTTTCTTCTTGAATGATGATTTTTATCAAACTTGTATATTTAAGTTCAGTAATTTCACTTAAATAACAATTAATAGGTAATTATCATTGCCATTTAAGTGAAATCACTAAACTTAAATATACAAGCTTGATGAAAATGATCATTCTAGAAGAAAATTTCAAATGGCACTTAGAGGCTTTTGCATCTGAACTCTTCATATATAGTAACTATATATACGGGGATCTAATCAACATAACTTAATTAGCAACCAATGCAGACTGAGAACACAGGCAAAAGCAAACATATTAATCTCAGAGATGAAGTGTGTATGCAGAGATGAAGATGAGGCTCTTACTGTATGTATCGGTTGAGCTCCTGTTTGCTGCAGCGGGACCAGTGGTATCTGTGAAACGCGGCCTGGACCAGTGGAGCCATGATGCTGCCCATACTGGTCTCGTCTGAGCACCGGTTCCCCTGGCCGTCGTGCTCCATCCCCAGCCTGAAACATTCAGCACAACCATCACAACACAGCTGAGGATCCTCACACATGTGTCCACTATCCGGCCTAAACACTGTGTGAGATTACAATAAGTGTGTCCTAAAAAGAGTAGGCCAGAAGTCCCCGGATGGTCGACTACTTCCAGTGGATTCTCCAAGTGTGGATCCGTGCACACTATAGAGGCTAATATTACCCACAATCCACTGCGCTTTGGAGGAGGAACTACAAACACGAGTAAATAGTGTCAAAAAACTACAAAACATGGCGGATATGCGCGACCGATGGTGTGAGTGCCTAATCCAAGTTTAACAGACATTTATTTATTTAATATTATCCGTATCTGTAATAACAATAACTTTTAAATGCATCATTATGCACTAATATGAGGAGTCTCTTCTATAAACACCAGCGACTGCTGATCAACGTGACTATATGTATTTCTCTCTGATACAGCAGGAAATTAATGTGGAGGATTGACAGGTCACATGATCCTTCACAAATCACTCTAATATGATGATCTGATGATCAAGACACATTTATTTAATGAACAGAAAGTTCAAAAGAAAAGCAATTATTTAAAAAAGACCCTTTTGCAACATTATAAACGTCTATACTGATCAATTAAACGTGTCCTTGCTGAATAAAAGTAATAATTGTTTATCTTAATGACCCCAAACTTTTAAACAGTAGTGTTAGTGTAATCTCTTAAATCACTTCAAAGATCAAAATGGTCTTACTTTCTTAATTAATTTATGTTCCCAGTCTTAATAAGATAATGTTTTTAAATACCGCTAATGAAAGGTTTGATGAACACTTTCACCATCCAATCTATTCATCATGAATAAAACATCACCAATTATGATGTGAAACTAGAGCTTTCCGGCAGGTCATGTGACCTCTAGAGACACAGGAAACATTACATCAACAGTCTCCAGTGATGATTCATCATGAGAAAACAGATGATGCACGTCTGTTCTCCAAACCGCACTGCAAAAACTCATTTAATTACTTTCCAGTACATAAATCTGAATCAAGATGCATTTAATGAATATGCAAAGTTATTGAGTCTTGTTTCCTGAAAAAATGAGAGAACAAATATCTGTTAGCGGGTTCAGAAAAATAACCTTGTTTTCCCTCGATGCAATGTTTTGTTATGCATAAACTACCCGCATTCTGATGGTTGTTTCCATTAAACTCTTAAATAATTTTGCTTCTCAAGTAAATGCATTTTGATTTAAGAATGCTTATATATTTATTCTGGAAAACAAGACAAAAATGACATAGAAAAACAACATTTTTTGTAGTTACACTGTAAAAAAATCTTTTCATGATTAGTAATCACGACATTTTTTCTTTTGTCAAATCAACTTAAATAATTTATTTAGTTCAGATAACATATAATTTTGAGTTTCTGATGATTAAATCATTTTCCTTCATATTAAATATTGGTCAATATTGTTCTATTAAGAGATTAAATATTGGTCAATATTTTTTATTAACAGAATAAATATTGGTTATTATTGTTTCATTTAGAGATTAAATATTGCCCAGTTTTGTTCTAATAAGAGATTGAAATATTGGTCAGTATAAGAAATCAAATATTTGTAAATATTGTTTTATTAAGAGATAAAATATTGGTTAATATTGGTTTATTAACAGATTAAGTATTGGTCAATATTGTTTTTTTTTTCAAGAGATTGAAATATTTGTTGATATTATTTTATTAACAAAATAAATATTGGTTATTATTGTTTCATTAAAAGATTAAAAACTGGACGTTTTTTTTCTAATAAGAGACTTAAATATTGCTCAATTGTATTAACTCACTTTTTCCATTTCAATGAACTTAAAATTTTAAGGCAACCAGGTTACTTACTTTTTTAAGTTAAACCAACAATATTTTTTACAGTGTAGGATCTGAAATCTTGCATCTGGCAGAGTGGTAAAAGCAGCAAGTGTTTGTCCTGTCCTACAGGAGGCGCTATCGAGCAGCCCTAATGAGCTGTAATTATGATGTGCATCCAAATCATTTATTCACGCTGAGCTGTTTTAATTTTCTCATGCACATTAGACACATAATAGATGCTTTATGTATTTATCATTCTCACGCTGCTGCACTAAATGATGTTATATTAAACCGGCTGAATGAGCAGCGCTTTATCGTCGTATTTCAGAAACTGAAGACAAAATACATGCAAATTAGTGCATTTTACAATTACAACATAATTACAAAACATGTCTCCAACTCACGAATTCTCCTGCTAATCACAACACTCCTCTCGTAAACATGAGAAATGACTGGAAATACATATATATTCCTCTTGCAAAAAGACCAGCCAAGGAAAATAGACATCTTCAGCCAATAATATTAAAAAGATTTTGTAAGCATATTGCGTAGTTGTGCTGAAAAACAAGAGAGAACCAATGAAATATTAATATTATTAATATTAACGTTTGCTTTTTCCTGTCCGCTTCTTGTTTTTCTATGCATTTTTTTTTTCTTTTGGAAAATAATTTTGTAAGATAGATCCTTTAACCAGGTTTAGTGTTTTGTTCTTCCCTCATATTTAAAATATTAAAAAAATATAGGCCTAATTTCACAGACAGGGCTCAGATTAATCCAGGATTCGGCCTTATAGTTAAGTAGCTTTAATAAACGTGCCTTAAAAGTAACAATAAACTAGTGAAATACATATATCTATAACTCACACACAATACACGCATATATGCATACATACACATAACACGACAAAATTGAATGACAATTACAGTAATAGAAAAATATATATATATATATATATATATATATATAATCAGAACATAAAAATAAAATAGTTTCTACATTAAAAATTTAGAACAGCAGTTAAATGGGCTTTTAAATATCTTTAAAAGTTTATTGCTAGATGGGAAAAGCTGTTCCATAATTTTGGACCCCTAAATCTGATAGTAAATTGACCTCTGCCTTAAAAAAAAAACATTGCTGGTGTGAATCTTGAGACAAAACACTGAAACTGACATATTTTAAGAGATGCTTTTAGATAAAACAGATCAAACATGCATTTCAGTCCAGGACTAGATTAAGCCTCTCTGAGAATACATTTAATTTATTTCACTAATTCAACTTAAAAGGTGAAACTAATATATTATATAGACTCATTACATGCAAAGTGAGATATTTCAAGCCTTTATTTGCTATAATTGGGATGATTATGACTTACAACTTATGAAAACCTTTTCACAATATTTGGGGTTTTCATATCTATAAGCTATAATCATCAAATTTATAACAAATAAAGACATTAAATATCTCACTTTGCATGTGATGAGTCTATATAATAGTTTCACCTTTATTACTGAAATAAATGAACTTTTGCAGGATATTGTCATTTTTTTAGTTTGAAAAGCGGATGTAAACTCACACGTGTCCGGTTTCGTGCGCCACCACAAACGCGGAGGAGAAGCCGTCCTCGTGGTTCAGCGTGCAGCTTCGAAGCGGGTGACACATGCCCGTAACCGGGGCGTAACCTGGGACACACATCAAAGACAAACTGTGATCAACTGGAATGTGGGACGTTCTAGAACTCAGATCAGTTTCAATAGGAACGTCAAGGATTCCTTCAGTTCAAAGAGACGCCGGGTCACACACACACACACACACACACACACACACGTGCACTTCTCCAACCTCACTGTTCCTGCCTTCTTTTAAAGGATTAGTTCACTTTTAAAAAAACTTTGGCTGATAATTTACTCGCCCCCATGTCATCCAAGATGTCCATGTCTTTCTTTCTTCAGTCGAAAAGAAATAAAGGTTTTTGATGAAAACATTCCAGGATTTTTCTTCATATAATGGACTTCAATGGGGTCCAAACGGTCCAAGGTCCAAAAGACAGTTAATAACAGTTTCAGTGCAGCTTCAAATGTCTTCAAACGACACCAGACGATGAATAAGGGTCTTATCATGCGAAACGATCGGTTATTTCAAAACTTATTCCAAAAATGTAACTTTTCTAAGGACAAATGCTAGCCTTGCTCTATTCTGTGAGGCGCGTTTGTAACGTCACGTAATACGTAATTACGTTCAAAAGGTCACGGGCGACGTAGCCGGAAGTACAGAATCAAAATCTTCCGACATCGTTGTTTTACCTTTTAATTCCTTTTTTTGTAAACGGCGTTTGAGTTAGTTTGCACGTTCAACCTATGCGTTCAACTTGTAAACACTGACCCTGTACTTCCGGCTACGTTGCCCGTGACCTTTTGAACGTAATTACGTATTACGTGACGTTACAAACGCGCCTCACAGAATAGAGCAAGGCTAGCATTTGTCCTTAGAAAAGTTACATTTTTGGAGTAAGTTTTGAAATAACCGCTCGTTTCGCATGATTAGACCCTTATTCATCGTTTTGTGTCGTTTAAAGACATTTGAAGCTGCACTGAAACTCTCTTTTGGACCTTGAACCGTTTGGACCCCATTGAAGTCCATTATATGGAGAAAATCCTGGAATGTTTTCATCAAAAACCTTCATTTCTTTTCGACTGAGGAAAGAAAGACATGGACATCTTGGATGACATGGGGGCGAGTAAATTATCAGCAAAAGTTTTTTCAAAAGTGAACTACTCCTTTAAGAGCAATTCTGAACTTAAAGGGATAGTTCACCCCAAAATGTAAGCCGCTGTATACACTCGGACTATTTTAACGATGTCTTTAATAACTTTTCCGGCAAGTTTCAGTTACAATAGAAGCCTGTGGAGGAGTGAGACCGCTCTCAGATTTAATTAATTAATTAAGAATATCTTCATTTGTGTTCTGAAGATGAATAAAAGTCAAAACACGAGGGAGAGTCATTACTGACAGAGTTTATAATTTGGGGTGAACTATCTCTTCAAATTGTGATTTTTCAAGAGAGAACAATTCTCTGTTTTTCTTGCTCTGTTTCAAAACCAAGTGAGTTGTCGCATTAGGCATCACATCTGAAAGCTGCTCAGAAAGGTATTATAGTGCCTTCTTTTGCACACAGAAACAAGGAAATCCCAGAATGCACTGAGACAAAACGTAGAGCAAATGCAAAGTTTTGGGTCGGACTGCAAAGCTGCATTATTTGATCAAAAACACTGCAATTGATATTTTTATTTATTTATTTAAATCATATTTTTTCTATGTGAATATAAAGTAAAGTGTAATTTATTCCTGTGATTTTCAGCACCATTACTCCAGTCTTCAGTGTCACATGACCCTTCACAAATCCCTCTAATATGAGGATCTGATGTAATACAAATTTGCTTGTTGAAAGACATGCAATGCATTTGAAATATACATTATAAACGTCTTCACTGTCGCTTTAAAGTATTAATTTCCTACAGACCCCAAACTTGAACGATAGTGCATATTCATTCATCCATTGAATTCATTAAAAACGTAATATTAGTACGCAGTTATACTTATGTTGTTGTTTTAAAGCAAAGCTGCATTATATCTGAGTGTCTAAAAAGACAACAACTCCTCAAACACTGTGACGTTTAAATCAGAAGCTGCACGAGCAACCCGAAAAGCTTTACCCATCAATCCCACACACACACACACACAGAGAAGACACTCGATCAAGAGATGTGCAGCGCTCGAGCTTTAGTCGTCTCACGGGTTAAACTCTTCTGATGAAAATGTTCATGCTCTTGAGATCACCGGACAGTCTTTGGCATGCAGGTGAAAAGCAGAAGATGCAGATCATGAGAAGCGTGTTTTAAAGCATCAGTGATAACTAGGCTGATCGTTTGATCATCACATGTTTAACACGGTGTCGTTCAGCCATGTCGAGTGATGAGGGTTATTGGATTTTTTGCATAACCAAACAACACATATTTAGCCAGCCGGAGGGTTGCAGAGAAACAAGCACATCTGCTGCTAGCGCTGATCTGTCCTCACACACACACACACACACACACACACACACATCCTGCAGGAGAACCCAGCTCTCACATTGCCCTGGAAAAGCGTAGCGTTGTTAATGCTGTAATCACAGTGATTAGATGACATTAAAGACATCTTTGCCCGCGAACAACCATAAATATAGTATTGCCATAAACTTAGCAAACATAGCAAGACAAGTTCACAATTTTTTTTAGATTTCACGCAAAGTGTGTCATGCATTTGTCTTTTTTTTTTTTAGTTTAGGGGAAATAAAAGCTAAATACAGAAATTATTTTATGTACTTTATTATTATATTATTGCATTATAATAATAAATAATAAATTAACATTTGTTCATAGACAAAAGCTCAACTTGACCCTACTGTTAAATTTAAACAATTATTTTTATAATTTAAATTTTTTTTAAATATATTCTCCTTTAATTTTATATATATATATATATATATATATGGTTTGTTTTAGAAAATAATTCAGTAATTTAATAATAAAATAATGTTTCTATTTTTATTTTCTAATTTGATATATTTTTCTATATAATAAATACAGTATATTGATATTTATATTAATATATATATTATATAATATAAAATGTGTTAAATTAGAAAAATAATATATATATATATTAGGGCTGTGCAAAAATTAATTGCGATTAATCGCATCCAAAAAAAAAAAAAAAATTCAAATAAAAATGTTTACATAATATATTTGTGTGTGCTGTATATACTTATTTTGTATATATAAATACCTATGCATGCATGTATATATTTAAGAATTATTTGCACTTAAATTCTGTATATATAAATAAATAAATACATAATCTATATTTTATAAATATAAATATTTTATATATGAATAACACATTTTCTTAAATATATACATGCATGTGTGTGTATTTATATATAAAAATAATTATATACAGCACACACAAATATATTATGTAAACACAGACTTTTATTTTGGATGCGATTAATCGCAATTAATCTTTGCACAGCCCTAATATATATATATATATATATATATAAATGTTTATTACTAGAAAATAATAAAAACACACATTATGGTTTTAAACTGTATCATTCAATTTTTCATTAGACAAAGACAATAAAAAAAAAAGTATTGATGTAATATTTATTGTGAACCCTGCAGTAGATGAGCAACATCTGACGGTGAAGGACAACGATGTGACGGCTATAAACCAGGAGATCCACTAATCTCAGGCTCCAAACCCTCCAGCGCAGGAGTCACCGTACGCCTCTGCCTATCACTGGCCCTGGATCAGCGCTAAAGCTCGCGACGGGAGTGTGATGTTTGCCCTCGGGGGTGAAGGGTCGTCGGATGATGTTATGAGCACAACAGAGAGCGTGGCGTAGCAACAGCAGACGAGTGAGACACGTCTTCTACACATCACACATGAGTCTCAAAGCCAAACACACATCCATCAGAAACCAGTCCCTGAATCCCTGACGAGAGCAGGACGGAGCGTGGGACCTGTGTGTGATCAGAGCGTAAAACACTCCTCATATCCTGAAGCTGATGTGTGAATCGCTGCAGAACAAGACGTTTATTGTGAAGGAAAATGAAAGAAACACTTTAAAAGCAAAAGGAAGTTTTAAATCCTACTGAAATAGATGATTGTTTGTGTTTGTTTGTGTTAATGCTGACAGTTAATGTGATTCTCATCCAAGACTTGAAGTTAGTGAAGAGAACATATAGGAATATTTTGCATTTAACGTAAAGACATTTACACAATCTAGAAGAGTAGGGCCCTGTGAAAGAAATCCGATAGATTTTTTTCCCAAATTCCATTTTATTTTTTTCACTTATTAAAATTAAAATTGAAACTTATTAAATTTAACAGCAATTTATTAAGAATTTAGCACAAATTTAATTTTAAGGCCTTATGAGATCATTTTATTTTTCCCATTAAAAAAAAATCTGGATTCTAATTTAATGTTTTAATAAAATTTTAATAAACAAAAGCATGTCTATTTAATTTAATTAATAAAAAAACTTTTTTAAGACATCCCTTTTCCCCAGAAATTCTGTGTATTTTAATTCATCTTTTAATCAAATGAAAATTAAACCCTTTTTTGGCAAACAAAGTGCTGCATAACAGAGGTTTTATTCTAAAATGAAAACATGGAAGAAAATCTTTACATTTATTAATTTCTTAATTCATTTTATTATTATAAGATGTACATTCTACTGTAAAACAGTAATATATTTCTGTCACAATTTCTTCAAGTTAAACCAAACTTTTATTTTGACGGGTTGCAGTGATGACCTTAAAGTTTCTGTTTATGATATGAAGAAAGTTTTTATGACTGAATTCCACGATTACATCTGTGTTTTCTGCATCGCGGAAATCATTATAAATAATTTTATTTTTAAATAAATAAATCTTAAATAAAATAAACCACAAAAAGGGACCACTTGATGGATGTTTTTTTTTTATTCAGACCAAATTAAATTAGTTTTCTACCCTGATTAAGATGCCTAGTTAAGATGCCTAACGTTTTTACTACTTATTTTAAATAGCATGCTTGCAAGAATAACTTTAAAATTGGAGATTATAAACCACAATAATGTAAATTGGTTAATTTGATTGAGATAGTATCAGATTAGTATTGTTGAGAGCGCACAGCTACTGATAATCATGTTTTCTTTTCCTCTACATGCCAAAAACTCTCCTTCGCAACACACAGTAGCGGTCAAAGAGTATTTTTGGTTGCTACGAGTTAGCATGGATGCCCAGCGTACAGGTGTGTGAGTGCTGGGCATCCGTTGGAGAACAGAAGCGTATAGAAGCACTTACTCTGCACAGCCTCGATCGAGAGAAACACAGTACCTTGCATACCTGCGGGACCAAAGTCTTGCCTGGTGAGGAAGATTGCGTGGTCGTGATGCTCGGCGTGATCGGGGTCGAGTCTCTGCTGGGTGTTCGCCCAACGACAAACCTGTTCTAGACTCCGGGACGGGTTCCCTCGCTCGATCAGGCTGATGGACTAAAACACAGAACAGCCGAAACATCAGGAACATGTTAGTCCGGACTAGTCTATGACAGCTAGGCTACGCTAGTGGCTTGTGGATAAAGGCGTCTGTTAAAGGCATATACGTATATTTTGTGGCAAGAAAAAAAAGAAAAAGAAATCAATTAAGTTAAATTAAACTAAAATAAAGTTAAAATTACAATAAAGTTAAATAAAATAAACAATAAAATACAATAAAATAATAAACATAGTAAAATAAAGTTACATTCAATAAAAAATAAAATAAAATAAAGTTAAATAAAATAAAATGAGTAAAATGTTGTGTAATGCTAGGCTACGCTGGTGGGTTGTGGATAAAAGCGTCTGTTAAAGGTATACATGAAAATGTACATTTTGTGGCAAGAAAAGAAAAAGAAATGAAATTATGTTAAATTAAACTAAAATAAAGTTAAATTAAAACTAAATATAAAAAATTAAATTAAATAAAAAATAAAGTTAAAAAAGAAAATAAATTAAGTTGAATTAAATAAAAAATCAAATGAATAAAATGGTGCGTAATGCTAGGCTACGCTGGTGGGTTGCGGATAGAATCATCTGTTGAAGGCATACATGTACATGTAAATTTTGTGGCAATAAAAAGTGATTAAATAGCATTAAATAAATTAAATGAAATTAAAATGATATTTAAATGAAGTTAAATTATAAATTAAATACAATAAAAAAATATAATAAAATGAAATAAAATGAAGTTAAATTAAATTAACAATTAAATAGTTAAATTAATTTGAATGAAAATTTAAATAAAACAATAAAAAACTGAAATAAAATAAAAAATAAATAAAATACAATTTTTAATTCAATAAAAGAAACTAAAATAAAATTAAGTTGAATAAAATAAAATAAATTAAAATAAAAAGATGTGTAATGCCGGCATGTGATGTCCTGGAGCAGAACTAGTTGATAAGCTCCGGTTCAGACCAGACTAAACATAAAAACAAACGTTTGCCTGCAGTCTGGACTGATCATTACCACATGAGAAACTGAGTGAACAAACACTCTATGAGAAACAAACACTCTAAAGTCTGTGTGATCACAAGGATGTTTGACACAAATAAGGGATGATATGCAGTCAACCGGTCATTATCGTAAAATAAACCCTTACGGGACGATTAGTGCCCTGATGCTCGGGACTGCACATTATCCTGCCGGTAACATACAAACACATCAATACATGGACATCACATTTTATTTTGTAAGAAGAATAAATTAGCTACTAAATAAACAAGATAAATCGAGACTCAGGGTATATGAGCTATACTGGAACCAGCCACCGGGGGCGATCGAGACTCAGGGTTTATGAGCTATACTGGGACCAGCCACCGGGGGGCGATCGAGACTCAGGGTTTATGAGCTATACTGGGACCAGCCACCGGGGGCGATCGAGACTCTGGGTTTATGAGCTATACTGGGACCAGCCACCGGGGGCGATCGAGACTCTGGGTTTATGAGCTATACTGGGACCAGCCACCGGGGGGCGATCGAGACTCAGGGTTTATGAGCTATACTGGGACCAGCCACCGGGGGCGATCGAGACTCTGGGTTTATGAGCTATACTGGGACCAGCCACCGGGGGGCGATCGAGACTCAGGGTTTATGAGCTATACTGGGACCAGCCACCGGGGCGATCGAGACTCAGGGTTTATGAGCTATACTGGGACCAGCCACCGGGGGCGATCGAGACTCAGGGTTTATGAGCTATACTGGGACCAGCCACCGGGGGCGATCGAGACTCAGGGTTTATGAGCTATACTGGGACCAGCCACCGGGGGGCGATCGAGACTCAGGGTTTATGAGCTATACTGGGACCAGCCACCGGGGGCGATCGAGACTCTGGGTTTATGAGCTATACTGGGACCAGCCACCGGGGGGCGATCGAGACTCAGGGTTTATGAGCTATACTGGGACCAGCCACCGGGGGCGATCGAGACTCAGGGTTTATGAGCTATACTGGGACCAGCCACCGGTGGTGATCGAGTCTCTGGGTTTATGAGCTATACTGGGACCAGCCACCGGGGGCGATCGAGACTTAGGGTTTATGAGCTATACTGGGACCAGCCACCGGGGGCGATCGAGACTTAGGGTTTATGAGCTATACTGGGACCAGCCACCGGGGGGCGATCGAGACTCAGGGTTTATGAGCTATACTGGGACCAGCCACCGGGGGCGATCGAGACTTTCATAATCTCACGTGTCTCCACAGTCAATAGTGTCACATAAGTTTGCAATCAAAAGTCAATATGAGGTCAAACATTTTTCATTAAATGATCTGAGCTGCTCCACATTCATGCTATAGCTCTAGGCGTCTTTGCTGGATGACAACTATTGACTCGTTTTATTTTCATTTCATTTAGGAGAATCATCTGACAAAAGAATGTTTTGCTAACGTTCCCATTCAGATATTATTATATATATATAAATGTTATTTCTGAATGCTCTCGGAACATTAAAAAATGTTTAAGTCTTTTAAAGTTTTTTTTTCTTGATTATTCAAACGCTCACAGAACATTCCATCATTCTTCAAACATCACGGAACGTTACTTTTGAATAGTCTCTGAACATTCCGAAACAAGTTGTTACATTTAAAAAACGTCAGATGAACGTCCAACTGAAACTTTTTAGGAAAACAACGTTCCATGAACTGGGTATAAATAATGTTTTTATGCTAACGTTTTGAGAACATTATTACAGACCAGATAACGTTTTATAAACTTTACAGGGAAGAACGTTAGTTCGCATAACGTTGAGAGAACCTTGCCACAATGTTTCTTTTCAGACAGCAGAACACGAGAGAGGTCTCTGAGCACCAGCGCTCCTCTGGGAGAACGTGGGCTATTTGAGGACACTTCGCTGTTTGTATTAGCATGAATACCCGCCGGTAAAATCCCATCTGAGACCGAGCTGAAGCTGAAATTCGATGACTGACTGGCTTTCTGTTCGGCTTCCAAAATATACCAACAACTCACTGTGACACAAGCAGACTAAACACAGCAAACCCCAGCGGGCATGAAATCACTGAGCCAGAACAGACACAATGATCATCCATCATCACAACACACACGTTTACAGCCCAAAAACCACTCCAGATCACACGGAAAAATCAAAAAGAAGGACATTAAATATTATATTAATATATTCATTATACTTAAATATACATTTTAAGCCATTAAAAAGTATCAACAAAAGACAATGGGATAAATCATTTACAATTACAATGTTTGTTTCAAAACTTGTGAGTGACTGTACAGGTGTGTGTGTATACTGTATATTTAATATTATTATACATTTATACATTTAATATTTCAGTAACACTTTACAATAAGGTTTCATTAGTTAACATTAACAAAGAATGAACAATACTTCTACAGCATTTATTAATCTTAGCTCATGTTATTTTCAGCATTTACTAATGCATTATGAAAATCAAACGTTGTATTTGTTAACATTAGTTAGTCGGCACAAACATGAACAAAAATCTGTAAAACTAACATTAACAAAGATTAATAAATACTGTTCATTAGTTCATGTTAGTTAATAGATTATCTAATGCTAATAAAGGAGACCTTATTGTAAAGTGACACCAGCGGTTTAGTGTGTGTTTTTGAAATGTCACTATAGAACATGCATTAAATATATTGTAAATAAATAATTTACAATATCAAGGCTTTTTTTCTTTAAGGTGGCAGCCAATTGTAAAAACATTTGCAAAAAAAAAAATCAACGTTTAAACAATTGTTAATTATTTATTTTTTCTAATATACTTACAATGTCTTAAAATATATCTTAAAATACTACAAAAATAAGATTATAAGAGTATAGTGGCGTGCAGGACGAGGCCGGTGGCGTGATTGATAATGAACGACTCGTATCTCTCACGGAGGAGCGACGACAGTGAAGGATGAGAGAGGACCAGGCCTGCACTACGGTTGTGGTTTTTTTGTATTTGTTTATTTTATTATTAAAAGTTGTTGAGTGTATATGTATATAGGTGATTTGGATAAAAATGCTTCAATGTAGCATTTTTATCTAATTTAATATAGACTTTTTGTCATTATAATGTCAGCCTAGCAATTTAAGCGAACATGAATTTAAGAACGTCTTAGGCATTGCGAATTTAATAACAGCAGCATTTTAAGAAAGCATAATTGTGCAAATATAAAAAAATTACATTTTTGTTAAAATCTTAATGCTTTGAAGGCTTTGTTCATTTCCAGGTTTAAGCTGAATTTTTAAATAAATCACATTTAAACTCACTGCAGTTTGACGTCTTGCCATCTAAAATGACGGACAGCATCTACAACTGCACAATGGATTTATGAAGACAATTCATACTCTTCAGCACTGTTACTTTTGCATCTCTCAACCTCCAGCCAATCGTGCGAGAGGGAGGGACATACGTGCGGTGACAAGAAACGTGTGTTTATAAATGCTGTCAAAGTGCCTTCAGCTTGGATAAAGCAAAGGGAATTAAAAATAATTGTACACAAGAAAACATGAGTGCTCTAAATTGGAATCAACATAAAGTCAATCTGCAGTAATGGATTAATGCAGCGTCTGATGTAATGAGGCCACACACACACACACACAGAATCAGTGTGTGGATTCACCCTGGAGTGTCAGCATTAATCTTTCAAGACACACAGCAGAGAGTCAGGTGGAAAACTACCACACACCACAGATTATAAGCTTGTTTGATTGACAGCAAAAATGCATTACTCACTGACCAGAAGATGCATTGATTTCACGTTCTACTCTACTTCATCTTTGTTGAAGGGAAAATAAATACTTTCAGTTCCTCTCCACATCGGTATTGGTTCACAGAGAGGCCTGAATTGTGTGTTCGCAAATCCGTCAAAGCCCAGAAGGGACGTGGAGAGAGCGGGTTGAGAAACTGTGCCTTCACCTTCAAAACTTTTGATTTCACTTTCAAAACCTTGCATTTTATAAATTAACATTTTTATTTCAAATGCAAAAGAGGATGCAGGACGTTTTGCAAGTGAATGCAAAGTATCGGAAAGTAACTTTCCTCCCGTCTCATTTTGTTTTCATCACCTTGACCGTTCAGTGGCATGTAGTTATAGTCACTGTGTAACATCGGAGAACTCTATTACACATGTCCTTCTCTGATATCGGAGTGTGTTTTACAGCAGCGTCTTTCAGGTGGCTAGTTATTCGCCAAATAATTACCATACTATTTTACAGAACGCTTTAATAACTGCTCTTTAAAGGGATAGTTCACTTTAAAATTAATTTTTGGTATGTTTTAGCTTACCTCAAGGGCATCCAAGATGTAGGTGTCTTTGTTTCCACAGCATTTTCACTTTTGACATTTTTCAGTCAAACCGTTGTTGTCTATCAGTCATATAATGGAGGTCTATGGTCACCACCTCAAAGAGCAGCACAGAGAAGTCCAGATTAAACATGATTTAATGACTCGTAAATGTAAGTACACATTGATGGCCTAAGACACGAAACGAGCGGTTTGTGTGCGAAAACCAACAGTGTTTATATCGTTTTACCTCTTGTAATCACAGTGATCTGAATCAGTTGTTCAATGTCCAACTGAACCGAACTGAATCGGTTCAATGTTACGCCGGAAGTGATCGCTTGGGTGTGACGTCACTCAATATTTACACGGAGATTTCGGAAGTTTTACCTTTTACTAAACATATTTAGATATCCCGAAATCGTCTTCCATTGCGGTTTCCCGTATATCTAAATATGTTCAGTGAAAGGTAATACTTCCCAAATCTCTGTATAAACAAAGAGTGACGTCGGCGCGCAAGCGATCACTTCCAGACCGAAGCGCCCGCGCCCTCAGATCATTTTGTCATGGCTGTGATTACAAGAGGTAAAACGATATAAATACTGTTGGTTTTCTCACACAAACCGCTCGTTTCGTGTCTTGGGCCATCAATGTGTACTTACATTTACGAGTCATTAAATCATGTTTAATCTGGACTTCTCTGTGCTGCTCTTTGAGGTGGTGACCATAGACCTGCATTATATGACTGATTGACAACAACAGTTTGACTGGAAAATGTCAAAATTGAAAATACTGCAGAAACAAAGACACCTACATCTTGGATGCCCTTGAGGTAAGATAAAACACACTAAAAATTAATTTCAAAGTGAACTATCCCTTTAATAAGGCATGTAGTCTCTGCTGTCGTAATCGACTGATGCTGATATAATGAACACTGCACATAAACATGATTGACCAGCAGATCCATTAATGTTTTGAACTGAATTACTACAACATGAATTGATACTGTACAGCTGAAGGGTCAATGGTTTCTGTCTGTACTGTTTAAAGTCTCCCGTGTTGAAAATCTAGCTTTTAATGTTGTTTATAAGTTTTTAATATGCTTTAATGTGTAAATTCATGAGTGGACAGCATTGCTGAGTATTTCCTCTTTAAAACCGCAGCGAACCAAAGACAGTCTCAAACACATGCTTTGAAATCATTGATGTTTCTGACGTCACAAGCGACCTTGTAACCAATCAGATTAACCAGTGGATCTCTGAGCTGAGGGAGTGAGTGAGTGAGTGAATGAGTGGAGGCGGAGCTCATTTGCATATTCATAGAACTGCGAATACTAAATGAGGCAAGGGTGTCGAGTTACATTCAAATGGTTTTAAGGCATGAAGACATTTTCTATTGAAGGTAAAAACACTTAAATATGTGATTTTGGTGATCAAAGATGGGTTTAATGGATCAAATGATTGACTACAAGACGCTATCCCACCTGACGATATCCCACCAGGATCATTCGGACCAGCACAACGTTGATGTTGGTTCCCAGAGACTCATCGTGGTAGATTTCGTCAACCTGCGGACACAGAAAAGACGGGGGGAAAATATTAAATCTGAATAACTATGAAGCTCAAAATCTAATCTATGCAGAACTCATTGAAAACAGAGTTTATGACCCATTTTACTGACTGAACATTTTGGATGATATCCACAAAGAAGCTTGAAATTTACTTATTTACTTATTAAATTACAAATGTCCATGTCTTTCTTTCTTCAGTCGAAAAGAAATGAAGGTTTTTGATGAAAACATTACAGGATTTTTCTCCATATAATGGACTTCAATGGGGTCCAAACGGTTCAAGGTCCAAATGAGAGTTTCAGTGCAAACTGCAAACTGTTCAAAGGGCTTTAAACGACACCAGACGATGAATAAGGGTCTTATCAAGTGAAACGAGCGGTCATTTAAAAAAATAATAATAAAGTTTAAGTTTTATAAGCTCAAATGCTCGGCTTGCTCTGTTCTGTGATGCACGTTTATGACTCTCCTGTTCGAACTCGTTCATCAAAATGAATCTTTTTTCGAGTCATGACTCGAAGTGTCCTAGATAAGACCCTTATTCATCGTCTGGTGTCGTTTAAAGCCCTTTGAAGCTACACTTTGGACCTTGAACCATTTGGACCCCATTGAAGTCAATTATATGGAGAAAATCCTGGAATGTTTTCATCAAAAACCTTCATTTCTTTTCGACTGAAGAAAGAAAGACATGGACATCTTGGATGACATGGGGGCGAGTAAATTATCAGCAAAAGTTTTTTTAAACGTGAACTACTCCTTTAATGTAACGTTATTTATAACACAAATAAACAGCAAGTAACACACTGAATTAAACATGAAATTCAAAATGATATTTTCTTATGAAACACTCCAAAAATGTTTTTTTCTGGATGTAACTTCCCAATGTGCTGCAAGGACACAAAATTGAAAAAACATTGAATTTCATTGCGCTCATTGAAGAGTGACTTTGAGTATTTTCTGCAACGTCTTCTTCTTCTTCTTCTTTAAAAAGCCACACTTCACCACAGTTTGTTATTATGCAATGCCAAAAACGTCTGACCAACATAAAAATGCTGTTTGGGCTCGAAGTCTGACGTGTGACACCCAGTTAAAGGAATTTAAACCAAACTCGGGTTCGAGCGCGGAGGGAAAACAGCAGCACTCGTATATTTTCCATATATCAGGAAAGACACTTGACAAACACTTGATCCTGCAGCCGGGGTCACTGAGTTTACACACACGGCCTTGTTTCCTCCCAGCTCTGGTTTGGTGCCTCATGCTGGTTTGACCCGGTGTGAGGGTTGAAGATCAGACTGGGGATTATGGGTAAAATAGCACTGAAGGACACGGTTAAGGTTAACCCTCTTGAGTTTCCCGTCACCTTCACGGCACACCTGTGATAACAACACTCCAGATGTTCACATGAAAAATTCACAATAACCAATGGGACACGCTATCAAAACCCATCCACACAAAGGCATGAAGCACTGAAGAAGTAAAACTGAAATCGCCATTTAATTCAGTATAATTTATAATATATGTGCTGCGTGTTTAACCATCTTCACAAACAAAAATAGCAGTTTTCCGTCAAAATAATTAGTTTTACAATGTAAAATAAATATTGTATTATTAAGAAATACTCTATTTTTTTATTTTAAAGTGAAATATTACAATAGCGACATTTCTTTTTTATTTAGCAGTCTTTATATTTTTATTTACAACAACTAATTATTATTATTATAATTACTTTATAGCTATATTGATTTATAATACTAATATGATATTATTTTCCTTAGTATAATTATAATTATCATATAGCTATATTTAGTTACTGTAGCCAAATTGTGCAGATCTACAAACAAGCACAGACATTTTTTTATTGCATTTTAAATCATTTTAGTATTATTATTTTTTAATAGCCATATTGATTTATAATCACAAAAGTTTGGCCAAATTGTGATTATTATTATATATTTTTTAATTAATTAAATAATATATTTGTCATTTACAGTATAGATCTTATTTTATTTTGATTTAGTAAGTTTATATTCTTATTAAATAAGTTATTCGTGCAGCTCTACAAACAAGAACAGCAATTTCGCAAATTGAATTTTCAAATCGTAATCATAATATATATATATATATAAGGGCTGTGCAAAAGTTAATTGCGATTAATCGCATCTAAAATAAAAGTCTGTGTTTACATAATATATTTGTGTGTGCTGTATATAATTATTTTATATATATAAATACCTATGCATGCATGTATATATTTAAGAATTATTTGCGCTTAAATTCTGTATATATATATAAATACATAATCTATATTATATAAATATAAATATTTTATATATGAATAACACATTTTCTTAAATATATACATGTGTGTGTGTATTTATATATACAAAATAATTATATACAGCACACACAAATATATTATGTAAACACAGACTTTTATTTTGGATGTGATTAATCGCAATTAATTTTTGCACAGCCCTATATATATATATTTTTTTTTTTTCCCATTGTGCAGCCATACACTAAATTTACAGCATGTTTTTCTCCATCTGTCACTAATCAAATCACTACAGCGGTACCATATTTTAAAGTTACCATATTATAAAATGTTCATGAGAACAACTTGAAACACACAGCTCCAACAACCTCTTAAATTCTGTTCTTTACTAATGATGAGGATTATAATTATTCACACACCACTCATCACATGTTGTCATCTCCTGCGTCAGAGCGCAAATAAACTCTCTGAGCACTTCACTCACGTCTGGTTTAATGACCGCCTGAAACATGCTAATTTGGTCAAATAAAACACAAAAACATCTTTTCAAAGGTATTTCTGCACTAAAATCTGAAATCACAACCAATTTTACTTTAGCAATATGACATTTAAGTAAAACTGGATATTCAACAGAAAATGCAGTGAGGAATGAGACAAACAGCATTGAATCCCATTGAGTTTCACTGAAAACGAAACTTGTTTACTTTACATGCACATTTACTTAGCAGACATTTATATCCAAAGCGGAATCAGACCTATGACTTATAGCGTATAGCAACTACTGTTAGAAATACTGCTCAATATGCAGAGCGAGTTATATTTATATGCAAAATCCCAAAGACCAGCACTGCAATGTAAATAAAACATGCACGGATGAATCGTTCACAATAAGAGCAGAAATGTGCATTAAGAACACGTTTTTTCCATTCCCTTGTTTTTCTATGTAAACATGCTTTAGACGGGCTTGTTTGACTGCTGTGCTCATGTCTTTTGCAGCATCTTGCATGACATAACATACATTTTTTAGACGTTCCTAACGTCTGTCAGCAATGCAACACACTTCAAACTTTAGAACTAGCTAAAACAACTCCTCCTCCATCTGGGAATGTACACAGGCTGTAATTGCGTCCAGGTCTGCGTGACGTGATCGGCTTCCCGTCGTGCTGACACTCGTCTGGAGCGATGTGAGCGGATATGGAGCGGCGTGATCGAGACATGCACTGACTGCCCTGAAGATGAGTAAACAGCCTCTCCAGATTGAGAGGAGACATGCAAAGCGCCTCCCCCGTGATGAAAGCATGCGCTCCCATTATTTGTAAAAGCGTCTGCGAATTTATGAGGTGAGACCCCGCCCGACGACCTTCACGAGAGGATCGTTTGTGTTTATTTACGGCGAACGGGCCGAGTGAGCTCTGGAAAGCCGCCTCAGTCTCTGCAGGACACATATACACACGTCAGGCCATCAGTCACAAGAGAACATGAACGTCTGACAGACACCGGGATAGAAAAACACACAGTTTCTCCTGCTCTCCTGAGGCTAGAGACAGAAATAAGGCCACCGCTGGAAAGGGATAGGGCTGATTTTTCTAGTCGACTAGTAGTCGTTCATTTAAGCCATTAGTCGACTAGTAGTCGTTCATTTATGCCATTAGTCGACTAGTAGTCGTTCATTTAAGCCATTAGTCGACTAGTAGTCGTTCATTTATGCCATTAGTCGACTAGTAGTCGTTCATTTATGCCATTAGTCGACTGGTAGTCGTTCATTTAAGCCATTAGTCGACTAGTAGTCGTTCATTTATGCCATTAGTCGACTTGTAGTCGTTCATTTAAGCCATTAGTCGACTAGTAGTCGTTCATTTAAGCCATTAGTCGACTAGTAGTCGTTAATTTAAGCCATTGGTCGACTAGTAGTCGTTCATTTAAGCCATTAGTCGACTAGTAGTCGTTCATTCAAGCCGTTAGTCGACTTGTAGTCGTTCATTTAAGCCATTAGTCGACTAGTAGTCGTTCATTTAAGCCATTAGTCGACTAGTAGTCGTTCATTTAAGCCGTTAGTCGACTAGTAGTCGTTCATTTAAGCCATTAGTCGACTTGTAGTCGTTAATTTAAGCCATTAGTCGACTAGTAGTCGTTCATTTAAGCCGTTAGTCGACTAGTAGTCGTTCATTCAAGCCGTTAGTCGACTAGTAGTCGTTCATTTAAACCATTAGTCGACTAGTAGTCGTTAATTTATGCCATTAGTCGACTAATAGTTGTTCATTTAAGCCATTAGTCGACTAGTAGTCGTTAATTTATGCCATTAGTCGAATAGTAGTCGTTCATTCAAGCCGTTAGTCGACTAGTAGTCGTTCATTCAAGCCGTTAGTCGACTAGTAGTCGTTCATTTAAGCCATTAGACGACTAGTAGTCGTTCATTTAAGCCATTAGTCGACTAGTAGTCGTTAATTTATGCCATTAGTCGAATAGTAGTCGTTCATTCAAGCCGTTAGTCGACTAGTAGTCGTTCATTCAAGCCGTTAGTCGACTAGTAGTCGTTCATTTAAGCCATTAGTCGACTAGTAGTCGTTAATTTATGCCATTAGTCGACTAGTAGTCGTTCATTTAAGCCATTAGTCGACTAGTAGTCGTTAATTTATGCCATTAGTCGAATAGTAGTCGTTCATTCAAGCCGTTAGTCGACTAGTAGTCGTTAATTTAAGCCGTTAGTCGACTAGTAGTCGTTCATTTAAGCCATTAGACGACTAGTAGTCGTTAATTTAAGCCATTAGTCGACTAGTAGTCGTTCATTTAAGCCATTAGTCGAATAGTAGTCGTTCATTCAAGCCGTTAGTCGACTAGTAGTCATTAATTTATGCCATTAGTCGACTAGTAGTCGTTCATTTTAGCCATTAGTCGACTAGTAGTCGTTAATTTAAGCCATTGGTCGACTAGTAGTCGTTCATTTAAGACATTAGTCGAATAGTAGTCGTTAATTCAAGCCGTTAGTCGACTAGTAGTCGTTCATTCAAGCCGTTAGTCGACTAGTAGTCGTTCATTCAAGCCGTTAGTCGACTAGTAGTCGTTCATTTAAGCCATTAGTCGAATAGTAGTCGTTCATTCAAGCCGTTAGTCGACTAGTAGTCGTTCATTTAAGCCATTAGTCGAATAGTAGTCGTTCATTCAAGCCGTTAGTCGACTAGTAGTCGTTCATTCAAGCCGTTAGTCGACTAGTAGTCGTTCATTCAAGCCGTTAGTCGACTAGTAGTCGTTCATTCAAGCCATTAGTCGACTAGTAGTCGTTCATTCAAGCCATTAGTCGACTAGTAGTCGTTCATTCAAGCCATTAGTCGACTAGTAGTCGTTCATTCAAGTCATTCAAGTCATTAGTCGACTAGTAGTCCTTCATTTAAGCCATTAGTGTTAACATTAAGGTGCCGCCCTAGAATGAAGTAAACAAAGTTAGATCTAGTTTAACGAGTAGTGTTTAGCACACAGACATTAAATGTTTTCACCGAGACTAATCTTCTGATATAAGAACCGGACTAGTTGAACTCACGAACGCTCAAACAGATGTTGACTTCCTCGTACAGTGATGAGAAACGCAGCTGTTCTCTGAAGGCGTTGAGCATCTCTAGTCAGCGTAACGCAGGACAAAACGCAACGCAAGCATTGTCCACTGTCCAGAAATCAGTCTCCAGACGGTAAAACACCCACAATGCCGAGCAGAGAAGCTTAACACAAAGTGGAGAGTGATTCGTCTTGCTTCCGTATGTCAAAAATACATAACTTCAGCGAAGATCTAAATCTAAAACACGATAACGCCGGCTGATCAGCCAAGGATGAAGATGATAAAGCCAAAAGAAAGCATGATGAAGGACATTTATTGGGGTTTCTTTACACATCGCCTTTCACTATAAAGCTCAACACACAAACACACACTCCCCAGACTCTGTGTATAGCGATAGTTTGAGGATGAATCTGTCACTAGAAGCGAGCCGAATCCAACAGTGGGAACGTCGACCGCAGCACAAGTGACTTCCAAACTAAGAAAATAATATTAATCCTAATCTTTTCTTGAGCTGTTTTACATTACAATAATATTTCACCAAATAAAACACGGAACTGAATACTTTTGTATTTATACTTATATGTAATAATGTCCTCATGTAGATAGCTAGCTAAACGTGTGTGTGTTTTCAGGCCGTGTGTGCGCGTGCACGTTTGTGAGTATTTGTGTGAATGTGTGTGTGTTTTCAGGCCGTGTGTGTCTGTGTGTGTTGGACCTATGAACCCTGGTCTCCGTCTGGTCAGTCACTGGTCTAGTGTGGGATCAGTCCACCGCTGCGCTCCTGTGTGTGTGTGTGTGTGTGAATGGGATCAGTCCACCGCTGCGCTCCTAACCGTAACTGTCACCGAGTGAAACCAGATCCTCTGAAAATCTGACTGGAGGGATTTTGCGTACGTAAGTAGATTAAGGTGGCAGGACCTGGTGGGACGTGTGTGTAACAGTCTTTTCTCTCTTTCTCTTTCTAGTAATCCTCACACAGGTTCCCGACAGCAACATGAGCAGAGAACCATGGGTAAAGAGTAAAGAGGTTATTTACTGTGCATTTCTTCATTAAAAAGGAGTCCTATTCTGCTTTTCTTCTTTCTTGAGTGTGTAATGTTGATGTTTGATAATGAAAAATGTTCGTCTCTAGATCAGAGTCAGTGTTTGTGAACTCCTGAAACGCCTCCACTGTAGTCTCGAGTTTCTTCCGGGAACACGTCACAATATTCCTCATTATAATAATTTATGCGCAGAATAAAGGGGCGGGGCCTGGTTGAGTTAGTCAGTAGTGTGTTAAACTGGCGGTTATACATTTCCCAAACACACTCGACCAATCACAACACACCGCTCCAGCCGACCAATCAGAGCACAGTGTGCTTTCAGAAGGCGGGGCTTCATAGAGACAGGAAGTAAACAGAGCGTTACTGACAGACTGGGACGAGAGGAGCCGCAACAAAGGAGAATATGAGGAGAATAATCGACATTCAAGCAGGAAAACCTGTTCTAGAAGAGCCTGAACACATCAAGATGGCCTCTTTAAATACGGTGAAACTGCAACATCACTTACTATGTTCATCAGCGTGAGGACGTAGTTCTGCACGTGTTCTTTGCCGTGGAAACGCACAACCGAGTCGTCCACCGCGAGCAGCACCTCGATGTTGTAGTCGTCTTTCTTCGCGTGTCTGCGTTTGCGCTCCGTCTCGGACAGTTTCTCCTCCACCGCGTCGAGAGCGTTGGGAAGCTCGGCGATACCAAAGTCAGTGACTGGAAACACACAAGTGTATTAGTATAGCGCTTTTCACTATAGACATTGTTTCCAAAAATCATGACGTTGAGGTCTATAATATCGTAATATCTTCATGCATTTAGAAAATTAGACTTGGGCGATGATATAGTTAAGGAAATGCAGTGCATATTCAACTTTTAATACATCATTGGGCGATAACATAGTTTACGATGGGATTTCTAGTGGTACGTAGGGTTGCCGCGGTGAGGAAAATTTCCCACCGGTTAATCGACGTGTGACAACACCGGTAATCCCGGTGTCACCGTGGAGGGTGGGGCGAGGGGGTTAAATAGCTTTTAAATGCGTGCGCGTTATACTTTCACTTTCGAAATTAGCGTCAATTGGCAATTCAGCGTCAATTGCTTGAATGGACCAAAAAACAACTCGCTGATAATAAAACTTTTATTTATAGACAGAACTTTTATTAGCATAACGAACGAATAAAATATAGACAGAACTTTTATTAGCATAACGAACGCATAAAAATAACCCCAATGCATTGGCTGAAAAAAGTGAAAATCGGCAAACTGTGGGCCCAAACAAATAAGAACCATAAAACGTTTATTAACGAATACGAAAACAAAATAGCCCTAAATAAATTACACAAAGTTTAAATAAGATAAAACCCATTAAAAAGAGACGAATATAAAATAAAAACTTCAAAAAGGACCTTAGCCTACATAAATGACATGCTTTCGCTTTCGAAATAAGCGTCAATTGCTGGAATGGACAAAAAAAAAAACAACTCGCTGACAATAAACTTTTATTTATTCGGCAAAGTTTGCAGATTGCCTCATTAACGCTTTCAGGTTTCATTTTTGAATTTGGTTTGAACCCAAAATATTGCCAAACAGGCGCTTTTGCATTGCGTTTTGACACCAAATCTTCCGCCATTATCTTGCTTTTCTGTAATTTGACTCGTTCTCGTCTCCACTCCGCTAAATTGAATCCTGATGCTTGCTGATCTGTGACGTGACTGGCTCTTGGCATGCAATGCGCAGTTTATTTTTAATTATAATGTATGCTCTCTTCTGAAATAAATAATTGAAAATTATTATTTTTAATTAATTCAAATAAATATTTTAGCAAAAACGAATACTTTTTAAAAAAAAAGTGAAGACATCGCGGTGTCACAGTGGGAAAGTGATGTCACCGGTGATGGGGCTTAAAACCGGTAACACCGTCAACACCGTCTATCGCGGCAAGCCTACTGGTACGTTCCAATAAAATACTGGTGAATGAGCAACTAGCATGAAATTCACATTCATCACTTCGTGTTGAGTCAAGACTAAAGAAAAGTTCGTCAACAGAAACAGCTGGAGCGCTTCAAAAAGAAGTGTTAGGAAACAATAAACATTCATTATAAAACAAGAGTTTATTTCAGGAGCGTGCCTCTCCATCTGGTGTCTCCAAAGATAAAGACTCAAGTGATCACAGCACACATTATTCACATTCTGATGAGTAAATGCAGACGTGAAAGATTAAAGGTTGTGTCGCGCATCAGAAGCAGAGGAGTGAACACAAGAGGAGAAGCGACCCGTGTTTGATGGTTAGAGATGAGACACTCGCGCGTGTGCTGCCTACGAAAGCAGTGCTTTAAGGGAATGATCCGAAGTCTGTTCTGGAAGACACACAGCAAAATGATCCTGCCTTCTCAGATGACTTAAGTTTCATACACGTTTATTTGATTCTTTAGGGTCTAAATGAAAACTTTCTCATTAGTATTGTAAGAAAACAGTAATTTTATCTGGTCAAAAACAGCTGTTTTCAGCACGCCGTTTCAGTGCATGTGCCTTTAAATGATAATGAGCTTTGCTGACTCCGCCCCTCCGCCCGACAATTGCGATTAATCACATCCAAAATAAAAGTCTGAAATTACATAAAATATTTGTGTGTGCTGTATATAATTATTTTGTATATATAAATAAATACCTATGCATGCATGTATATATTGTAGAATTATTTGTGCTTAAATTCTGTATATATATATAAATACATAATAAAATAATTTTATATATGAATAACACATTTTCTAAATATATACATGCATGTGTGTGTATTTATATATACAAAATAATTATATACAGCACACACAAATATATTATGTAAACACAGACTTTTATTTTGGATGTGATTAATCGCAATCAATGTTTGCACAGCCCTAATATTTTTATATAGTTTATATATATATATATATATATATTGCTTTTATTTAAGTTATTTTAATACATTAATTAGACAGATAAAAAAAAAGTGCTAACATTTTATTTCTTTATTTTCAGTTCATTTTTTTTTTTTTAATTTCAATAAATTAAATTTAGTTTTAATGGTCTTTGTTAACTATAATAACCCTGGTGTTTTCAATGCTTTTCAGAGGAAGTAGCAGCACACTAGGTTTATTTCACATTTATGAATTTAGCATGAAGAGTTCAGTATGACCAGCACGACAGAAAGGGAAAGCGATCATATCTCACCTCTGAATGCCAGAAATCTCTCTTCAGCTCAACAAATGGTAAATATTACAGCAAAGAAACTTCTGGCACTCTCCATAAACTAACGACATATGGTATTTACATTGACATTCTCTCATAATGTCAGACGTCAGAGGCCGGTCTAGACTTCTGATCATCACAGACTGCAGGTGTTGCACCGTACAGCTGCAAAACCGGATTTTAATGATTATTATTACTAGCGTTTTCATAGCACAGTTTCTCACCGTAACCTAAAAACAGCAGGACTCCACTTCACACTAATCCTTCAATAATCGGGAGTATTACAGCATGTTTCTGCATCACTCACATCTATCACAGGATTTCTATCTACACTATTTCACATCACTTGCATCATTGTCTAAATGAAGGACCATGGGACAGCCGGACACGGGTTCTTCATTCACAGACGCTTTTCACAGAAATAAACACTGACAAACTGACAGTTTAGTGTCTGAGTGACAGTTATATAATAGTGGAAGTGCTGAAGCAACAATCTGGAAAGTTCAGAACAAACCATCAAGTTTATTTCCATGTTTTAGTATTCGTAAGCAATAAGGTACTCGAGGCAAGTGAATAAGTCACGACTGAAGAGCCGTTACTTATTCACTTGCCTTGAGTACCTTACGGTTTTGTGTGGTAAACGGTTACGACACAATAAAAAATATTAAAGTAAAAAAAATATGTATTAGTGCAACTTTCATGAAGTAAAATCACTAAAAGTCGTCCTTCCGCTAGAAAAAGTAGTCCCTGACCGTGAACAGCAACACGTTCCGATGTGTAATATGCCGTGTTTAATCATGAATAAAGCACAGCTATTGACCAATCAGAATCAATGGAACTAACCGTTTTATAATTTGAATTAGCTTTCATGCATATTACACATCGGAACGTTGTTGCTGTTCACTGTCAGGGACTATTTTTTCTAGCGGAAGGATGGCTTTTAGTGATTTTACTTCATGAAAGTTGCACTAATACATATTTTTTTTACTTTAATATTTGTATTGTGTGGTAACCGTTTTATAAAAGCAATAAGGTACTCGAGGCAAGTGAATAAGGGGTTACTCCGCTCGCGTCGAGCCTAACAACGCCCTTCACTTGCCTCGAGTGCCTTATTGCGTACGAATATCACGGTACATGAAGATGATCATCATTCAGTACCAAAGGTTTTAGAAAGAGTCTCTTCTGCTCATCAAAAACACAGTAAAAATAGTGATATATTTTTATAATGTAAATCATCAGTTTTCTATGTGAATATATAGTAAAGTGTAATTTATTCCTGTAATTTTCAGCATCATTACTCCAGTCTTCAGGGTCACATGACCCTTCGGAAATCACTCTAATATGATGATCTGATGCTCTTTATTTTTCATTGTATTTTTCAGGATTCTTTGATGAATAGAAAGCATTTATTTAAAATATAATCTTATTTCGGTTTCGGTTTTAAAATATAAAACACATTTCGGTTTTGTATACAGTATATATAGTATTACGTATATTACCATCCATGTATGGAACCAACATAGTCTTTGTATGAGAGTTTTTATTGTAACAAAAAGATATAATAAATCGAATATACGAATCTGTGATAAATGATCTGTCCGGCCAGAGAAGATCTGCTGGTTTTCCAGAGTTTTGGATAGGATTATCCCTGTGGACCGTCTGAGTTTACGGCACCGGTGAGACGCTTTATAATGATATAAAGTCCTGCAGGTCCTCGAGTGATTCCAGCTCAGCGTTCACTTCAGTAATGAGCAGAAAGACAGTATTCCTGAGCCCTCTGTGAGTCTCACTGGCTTGCTTGATTTTAATGAAGTGTCCATCAAGATGATGTCAGGCGTTTACAGTAACGCTATGGGTACGACACACAGTCTGACCAAAGAAAAGACGTGTGTGTTGATACTGGTCAGAATGAACAATCAATCGAATCTTACTTTTCTCAGTCACATTCAATCGAAAGAAAAACAAAATTGTGAAAATAAAATCTTACTATTGTAATTTTACAATACCGAAAAAATATATGAATTATTCATTATTATTATTACTGTTCTTAACATGTGTTTTTTAATTTTACAATTGTAATATATCTTAATATATTTAATATTTGTATTTAGTAATAAATATAATACATAGTAATATAATAATGTTTATTTTAATAGTTATACTGTAAAGTAATTATTGTCCTTAAATAAATAGAAAAATTAACTTATTTTGTTAAATATTTAGAAATAATTATAATAATATATAATAATAATACACATTTTGTATTTTACCGTGAAATATTAATATTTCTTATTTAGTTTAATATTTTGTTTAATATTTATTTAGTTTTAAATATCATTATAATAGATAATAACTATTAATAGTTGTACTTCTTATTTTGTTAAATATTTGTATTTAGAAGTAATAATTAGTAATTCATTCATTATTATTATTACTACCGTCCTAAATAAAGACTTTTTATTATACAATGATATATTACAATAGTTCTTATTTTATTTGATATTTTTATTTAGTAATAAAAATTATTATAATAATACATAATAATGTAATCATTAATATTTTCTAATGTAAAAAATATTATTATTATTGTTCTCAAGTACTACTTTTTTATTTTACAATGAAATATTATTAGTAATATTTTCTATTTTGTAAATAATACTAATAATTAGCATTTTTTTAAATCATATTGTTACATAATAATACACAATTTGGGTTAAATTGTGCAGATTTTATTTTAAATCATAATCAGAACAAATGAAAAAATCACAATTGGATGTTTTCTCAGCCTCTGCTCACCTTCATTGTGGAGGTCATCTCTCCTCTGACCCTTGTCCCTTTTGATGGCCGATCTTCGGTAGACCACGTGGACGCGACCTTTGACCTCGACCTCCTGCTGACCTTTCTCCAGCGGCTCGATGAAGAACTCTTCATCATCAGTGCGAATCAAGCCTGCCTGAAACCACACAGAGATCCATCAGACAAACAAAAATGAGCAGAAAGTGGTTCAAAAATGAAACTAGCGGGATCATACGCCTTGAAGACAGAAAACAGCTCATCATAAAATGCATTTATGACAACAAAACGCCTTTCCTTTTTGTTTAAAGCTGTCGTTTCATCCTGAACGTGGCCAAGAAACAGTAACCAAAACAGGAATGCTATAAATGCACTTTCAGTGATCCAGACCATAATGCACTGCGTTTAGGACAGGACGAGCTGTGTGTTTATATTGGGTTAAAGGGGCGGTTCAGGATTTTGGACATCGGGCCTCATTTCCAAGTTAGCCTGTGTGCTATTTATCAGTGGAGACAGTTTCCAAAAATTTTCATCCAGTTGTTCCAGTGGCATAGTTCGCCGGTGCTAGGCTAGCACGAGTCAACATGGCTGTGGTTACAAGAGGTAAAATGATATAAATACTGTTGGTTTTCTCACAAAAACCGTTCGTTTCGTGTCTTAGGTCATCAATGTGTACTTACATTTACGAGTCATTAAATCATGTTTAATCTGGACTTCTCTGTGCTGCTCTTTAAGGTGGTGACCATAGACCTGCATTATATGACTGACAGACCTAAAAATATCAAAATTGAAAATACTGTGGAAGATAAAACATATCAAACATTAATTTCAAAGTGAACTATCCCTTTAATGCAGCTTTGTTGAGCAGAAGAGACTCTTTCAAAAAACATTAATCATTCTTACTGACCCCAAACTTTTGAATGATAATATAATAAATTAAGGAGGTATATAATTGTGCATTTAGCAAAATATAATATAGCAAATGTGATTGAAATTTAAACTGTACAATGCAGTTATCTATCTCATAAAATTGCAATTAATCCATGAGCTCAATTTCAAATTCTTTAATAGAATATATCTTACGCCGATGCGTATTAAGAAGATGTTTACCAACGCTACAGGCTTGTGTTTCAAGTGCAATAAGGATAAAGGTACATTCATGGATTGTTTTTGGCGCTGTGACATAATTTTGTCATACTGGAAGAAAGTACATAGTGTAATGGAAGACCTTCTTGGACTACATTTCGATATGACCCCAGCTTTGTATCTATTAAATCTCAATGTGAACATTCTGTTTAAAAAAGATGCAGTAACACTATTTGTGATACTGGTATACTTTGCTAAAAAATGCATTTTGTTACTTTGGTCTGCATCGCAGGCTCCATCCTTCAAAATGTGGATATTACAAATCGCTGCATGGTTACCACTTGAAAAGCTCACTTATGATAAACATAAAAAATCTGACAGATTTTGGTCCATATGGTCCTCCCTTTGGGATTATATAAAGGAACTCCCTTAACTTCCAATCTAAAGGATGCTAAGTCAATGTAACCTTGTTTATGTGTGGTAGTTATTTTAATTTTTTTTCAATTATTACTGTCTTTTATGTTGTGTACACCTTGTAATACAAATAGAACTTTGTTGTGATTCTATAAATGTAAATTATTTTCTATTGTGGGCAAACAATAAAAAAATAAATAAATAAATAATTGCAATTAGACTGAATAGAAATATTTATTTTAACCTAAAGTACAACTTACACATGAAGAAGTGAAGAAGCAAACAACAGCGCCCAGAACAGCCTAGCATGAGCAAACAGCTCTTGCACTGACTCCAGAACATGGGAATATCCAGATAACGCATGTGGGGTCACAGCCTGTCCATCATTTTACAATTCATTCTTGCCAAAATGACTGAAAAAGCAATCGTGACGCCTCTTTAAGCGCAGATATACACTAAATTCCACATATCAGCTCCACTGACTTTGAAGGTGGATATTTATAATGCAGCGAGACGCCGCGGCCAGATCCATACGGCCTGGAGGTTTTCACACACACAAGCTAGAGCAAACACACTTTCCTTCAGGCACATGAACATGCAGAAACGGAACAAAACAAGCTACATTTGCATTTACAGAAAGAAACATCAGGATTTGGTTTTGTGCAAATTTATGAATTTGAAATGTTGCATATTAATTAAGAGCTTCTTCTTTATTGCTGTCATGACACTCAATGAATGTGCATACTGTGTATAAGAGTGTAAAAAACAGATGCACCAATCTCAATTCAGTATGCAAATCAACATACTGAGAAAAAAGGCCAATCGGAATGGAATATTCAAATATGACATCATCAATGTGACATTTTGAAAGAATTCTGTCACAGCAAGTCGAAGGGAGATTTTCAAAGGCTGAAATGAAGGAGTTGTATTACTTGTATTAGTAGTAAAAGTCATTGTTATTTCTTATTACAGTCAGAATATGAGCCTGTTTTAAAACAAACCCAAACCGAGGAGCATCTTATACAAGCACTGGGAAAATAATAAAAATGCAAATACTTTGAAATAACATGCACGACACTTGGGGGATCAAGAATAAGGTGCAATACTGTAAAACAGAGTTGTTGTTTTTCTAAAAACTAAAAAGATAAAAGAAAAGGCGAGCGTCCCGCGTTGAGAAGAGCCCAGATTCTCTCTTTATTGTCACCCCACAGCAAAACATGCAATTTGAGGGCGATTGTTTGTCAACCTATAATTTGCAGTCAGGAGCTCGTCCTTCTGTTGGACGTAAACACTTCTGAGGGCCAGAAAAGGCATTTATAATGAAACAAAAGATTTCTATTTCAAATAAATGCTGTTCTTTTCAACTTTATATTCTTTAAAGTATCCTGAAAAAAAAAATCATGGTTTTCACAAAAATATGAATCAGGACAACACATAGAGCGATCAGGCATAACAGGTGGAGTGAATAACACTGATGATCTTCATAATTATGGATGGTTATTTATTGATACACAAGTGTGCAGTGTCTTAACTACATCTCTGACGTTTATAATCGGTAGAAGATTGAGCAAGTTATGGTTATTTAAAAAGTACATGCACCATTAAAACACAGTGTTACGAGTGAGCGAGCTGACTGTGGCAAGATGGCCGCCAGTGCGGACGTCGACCTCCATTGGCCAGCTGCGGACCAGACGTCTAGCCTTTATATCTATGATATTAGGCAGCAAGTGAACATTTTGTCCTCAACGTTGATGTGTTGAAGCAGGACAAATGTGCAAGCGTAGGGATTTGAGTGAGTTTGACGAGTGTTCGTGGCTATAGACGACTAGAGGTTTTTTAAGATGTTGATCTACCTCAAAGTTTGCCTTGATTGTTCTACGCTTACACTTTTACATTGCACACATCTTGTAACATTTTATTTAAGTTCAAGAATATAAGAAGATTTTTGTTTACATTTTATTTTTGTTTTTGACTGCTAAAAGTAATATAAATTGTTGTTTGCCTTGAAAAATATATAATTAAAAAAACGTTATAAAACTTATAAAGGTAAGCCATGTAAGCGCTTTTGTTTTGTATGACATGAGTGTTGTTTTTTGTGGTTATCTCTGTGTGAAACTCTACAGGTGAAACGTGAAAACTAAAAATTTCGTGCAAAAGTTATAATTGCTATGATTATGTCTTAAAGCTTATGAAAACCCCAAATTTAGAATCTCCGAAAATTAGAATATTACATGAAATCAATAAAAAAAAGGATTTTAAATACAGAAATGTCGGCCCTCTGAAAAGTATAATTATGCATATGTATATAGTTATGCTAAATATATTAGTTTCATCTGTTAATTTGTTTTACTGAAATACATGTTGCACGATATTCTCATTTTTCGAGTTTCACCTGTACGTGAGATAGTGAGATCTCAATGGGATTTACCTCGTTAAATAAAGGATAAACAGATAAATGATCATGTTGAACATCACGAAGGGAAGCTTCACACTCATTAACACAGATCTCAGCACTGACGAACTCTTCATAATCCCATCCGTCAACACAATCCCACATCTCTACACACTCTCCGCTTCATATCCAGTGTAATACCAGCCCGCTTTACAGGAATAGTTCCAGCTTAACACTTCTTTCATCATGTTGTTCCCAACCTGACATGAATGACGACAGCGTTTTCGACAGATTGAACTATTTCTATATTTAATCCACTGACATCGTGTGTATCAGTTTTCCTGGCATGTCAAATCCCGCTGGCCTCGACTATACGTCTACGATGGAAACACAAATAACCAGTGCTTGATACTGTAAATGCTCCTGTTCCAGCGCACATACACACATCATAATCAGCACACACACTTCAACTCATGAACTTCACACATTTAGAGCAAATCTGTGGGATCTTTGTGCACATTTGTTTCCCGCTGAGCAGAAATCTTCGAAAGCTCGTTTTTGCCACAGAATAAAACATTTTAAAACATAATTGTGACTTTTTATCTCACAATTGTGAATTTATATCTTGCAATTATTATTTTATTTCTCAGAATTAGGATATAAAGTCAGAATTGCATGATGTACAGGTGAAACTCAAAAAATTCAAATATCGTGCAACATTTCAGTAATTCAAATTAACAGATGAAACTAATATATTTAGCATATAACTATATACATATGCATGATTAGACTTTCATAGGGCTGACATTTCTGCATTTAAAATCCTTTTTTTATTGATTTCATGTAATATAAAAAATTTCTGAGATTTCGAATTTGGGGTTTTCATAAGCTGTAAGACATAATCATCACAATTATAACTTTTGCACGATGTTAAAATTTTTCGAGTTTTCTCTGTATACTCAAAATTGCGTGTTATAAAGTCAAAATTGCGTGTTATAGTCAAATTTGCGTATTATAACCTCAAATTGCATGTTATAAAGTTAAAATTGTGTGTTATAAAGTCAAAATTGCATTTTATAAAGTCAAAGTTGTGGGTTTTAAAGTCAAAATTACATGTTAAAGTCAAAATTGCAAGTTATAAAGTCAAAATTGCGTGTTATAGTCAAAATTGCGTGTTATAACCTCAAAATTGCTTGTTATAAAGTCAAAGTTGAGTGTTATAAAGTCAAAATTGTGATTTATAAAGTCAAAATTGCGAGTTTATATTT